ATTTTTTTAGCACAAATACCGCTATAATTACATAAAAGATAAAAAAAAAAAACAAATGAAAATATAATTTAAATAATAATAATATATCATCTTAATATTTTTTCTAAAACTAAGAGTAATTACAAAATGAAGTTGATTTTTTAATACTAGAAGGGTATTCACGTAATACAACAAAATACATCTTGATTTTTAATATTTTATTTTTTATTTCAGTCGATATTATTATATGGTCTTATACGATTTTGAAATCGATAATGTTTTTATTTTTGAATAAAATATAAATTTAACAAAAATATATCGATATCAGTATCAAATTAATCATTTAAAATTTCTCATTTTTTATATAATTTTTTAATTCAATTTTTTAATTATAATTTAATTTAGGTTTAATAATGAAGTAATTTATATTTGATTTAATAANTAATTCAATTTTTTAGATAATTTAATTTAGATTCAATAACGAAGTAATTTATATTTGATTTAATAATATAATTTTCTTATAAAAATAATAATTAGTTATTTTGTTAGAAGTCAATAATTATTTTAATTATATTTTATATTTTTTATATTTTAAAATGAATATGTATCATCTATTTGATTATGTTTATCTGCAGTTAGTTACACGAATTCAAATATAAAGCTTTAATAAGTTGTACTTATGCGTAATTTACTTGTAATCTTGAATTTTAAATAATATACATTAATATACAATATTTTATATATAAAAAATGATTATAAAGATTTTTGTCAAATATTTTATAATATAGTAGAGATTATGAATTTTTATCTGTAAATTAAAATATATATTTTTAATTAAAAAGTAAGAAAATATAAGACATAATTAGTAATTGCACCGCTTGTTGGCTTCTTCATTTTTAGGCATTTGCTTCCATCATTCCTCCTTGAGTTCCAGCTTATATATTTCCGTCCCAAACCCTCTCTGTGCAAATTCAGACTGAGAGTGCATAGAGAGTAAAAGAGACACAGATCAAATCAAGTAAGAGAATGGGAATAATTTCGTTGATAACAGGATGGCCAGGCCCTAGTGGCTTTGGATCAGCCACCACCGCCGAACAAGCGACCGCCGGAATTGATGCCGCCAATCTAACTGTCATCATTACAGGTAAACAAACATGAATTGTTTTACATTTAGAGAAATATCAAAATACGCGCACACTGATCGGCGCGTGTGTATATCGTTCTTCTCTCGACTCTTCATCCTCTCGATCACACAGTATGTGTGAGGGAATTCAGTTTGAGATGAAGACATGAACAATCGAGTTGCTGAGTTCAAACGAACTAGCAATTGCTTCATAACGACTTTACATTAGCATATGTTGTTTTGGCTGGAGCCTTGAAACCGTATTCAGATCACCGGACACTGAAATTTTTGGATTGATATGTTGGTTATTATTTGATCACAGTTATTGCTAATCAGAAATGCTAAATACAAATCGTTGATCACAAAACTTAACCAGTTAAAAAAAACCTGTATCTGATTTCGTTGCTTATCGGTCATAAAAACCGAATTTGATTTCATTGATTATCAATTGAGACTGTTGGATTGATCCGATTTTGATCATGTCCTGGGAGTTTTAATTAATTTTTGTTGGTTCTTACAGAAACCGACCACATTTTTAGCATTTAAACGTCATCATCCAACGTTATACATTCACTTTTTGTGGTAGCTTTTGATGAAGTAGTTGCAAAACTTACTCCATCATGAATGCAGTCATGTATTTCGTACATTAAAATATAATTTGAGAGTGCCAAAATGGATGGATACGCCGATTGGCTTTGGCTTTGGCTTTTGCTTAATATATTTGTCCATTTTCATTTACCATTGCATAATAGTTAAAAAGCTCCCCGAATTAATAGAATCTTGATTAACAATTGAGCATTCTAGAAATGTGTGTATTAGATTTTCGCTATTCCTTTCTAACAAAACAATTCAATATAATTAGAACATTGCAAAAAATTACGACAGTCTAAAACTATTGTTACCCGATGTAAACTATTAGTTAATGGGAAATTTTCTAAAATAATTATTTTGAATTCTCCAATTCATTTTTATAGTTGTTTTCTTGTTCAATTGAGTGAAACAATCATGATTTTATTATCTGTATTTCAGTAACTTATGAAATCTATTTTTTTAATAATTTAATATTTATAAATTAATTATTTTGTATGTTGATAAAATGATATTTGCGAAATGTTGACATAATAGGTAAAAACACCTCCAGATTCTCCATAATAGAGATTTGAGGTTTTTTGCTTCAACAGATTCGTCACAACCTTCTCTAAAATGAAGAAAAAGAAGAAAGATGGTAAAGTTCTATAAATTCAGAGAACTCTAAAAAAATGATTATCTAATGCAAAAACAATTATTTTTTATTCATCCTACCAAATGGAATCTTTGAGAGAAAAAAATTATATGAAAGGTTTTTAATATTTTAATAGAGTAAATTATGAATGTGGTTTGTTAATAATTTATATTTTTGTTCTTGTGGTTTAGAAATTATAATTTTAGTCCCTATTGTTTACAATTTATTGCTATTTTCATCTATGGACTAAATTCTATCTTTAGACCAAAACAATAAAGAAATGTAACTACAAGGACCGAAACAATAATAAATTGTAAATCAAAACAATAAAAATAACAATCAGGTATAAACCATAGGGACTAACCCACAATTTCTAAACCACATAGACGAAAATTGCATTTTTTAATAAACCATATGGACTAAAAATATAATTTACGCATTTTAATAACTATAATTTATGATGTAATATTCAAAATGGAGAAACTATTCTAATTGAATATAAAATTTTATTTGGAGATTTTGATTTTTGATTGTTGAAGATGCTCTAATAGTTTAACAACTTTAGCAAGTAACATTTTAATAGGTTGTGCAAGTGATATTCCCATGTCAACATTTAACAAGTGACATTTTAGCAAAATGTAATTTTTTAAATATTAAATTTATAAAAAACAGCTTTCACAAGTTGTTAAAGTGTCGTTTATTAAATCTTGATTATTTCAATCAATTGAGTGGAAAGATCTATGTTTATTTTTACCCAAAATCATATATATATATATATATATATATGACGTTTTCAAATGCAACTCATCACATTTGTACAACCAATGCAACTCAATCAGTTGAGATATTTATGAAAATGATAAGAGTTTATTTATTATGATTTGAATATTTATGGAAAATGACTAAAGTTCATTAATTATGATCAATATTTTATATTATGAAACAAATCAAAACTTTTATTAAATCACATATTCATCAAATTAAATGGACGGTTGAAATTGAGTTGTATTGGTTGTAAAAATTAACGGGTTACATAATAACCCACCTATATATATATATGAACCTAAAGTAAAAAAAGAATGTGATTGGTTAGCCTTGGTTAGTATAGTTTGCACAATATATATATATATATATATATAGGTTGGTTCAAATACTAACCAAACATATTGTGCAAACTATACTAACCAAGGCTAACCAATCACATTCTTTCTTTACTTTAGGTTCAAATCTAACTTATGAATTAAATACAGGGGTGATTTTGTAGTTTAACCTTTTTGTAACTCCCTAATAATTAATTGGGAGTTACAAATCTTAAAAGATACCTCTAATTGATCATGAGATATTTCTGATTTCTTTATTCTTTTGTGTTCATGTTCGTGATTTCAAGTGATGTTCTACATATATTGATATTGGTTGTGTAAGGGGCTGTTTGTTTTTAATAAAAAAAACTCTTAATGTTCTCTTAAGTCTGAATCGGTCAGACATAAGAGGATTCAGTGTGTTTTTTTTTTCCAATTAAGAGCTTAAAAGCTCTTATTAAGTCTGAAAATTTAAGTGGTTGAGAAACCTCTTATTTCAAATCGTCGCCTATCTACTCTGATCTCTTTACGCTCGATTTCTCTGGATCAACTCTTCTGTCTCGATCTCTCATCTCTCAACTCTATCAACTGTCGATCCATATCAACACTCGATCTCTCATCTTCAAACTTCAGATTTCAGACGCAAAAAACAAACAGTCTGATTGATTCAGATTTCAGACTTCAGCACCACCTCTTAAAAATCAGAAGTGAATTCAGACTTCAGACTTCAGCACCTCTTAAAAAACAAACGCCACCTAAGTGTAAAAGATTTTCGTTTCGTCTAAAATACATGGATAATCTTATTGTAAAACATTTTCAGAATAATGAAACGATAAAGTTAATTCCGGATATGAATACAACATAGTTTGCACAATATGTTTGGTTAGTATTTGAACCAGCCCCTATATATAAATCATAATTTTTCATTTTGTTCATATTTTTTGTAATTATAAGAGGTTGATTAATCATTTTTATTATGGAGGATATTAATTATGGATATTATCATCTTCATTATTTTAATATTAGAGAAATACATGAAACAGTTTCATTAAAATTTCATTAAGTAGTATATGAAACAATTTCATGACCATATATGAAACAACTTCATGAAAAAAAGTATTATATGAAACAATTTCACAAGATTAAACAATTTCATGAAAAAAATATCATAAGATTACGATGGATGAGAGTAGTTTTTACAGTTTTTACAAATTGGAGTGGTTTTCATTTGATCGCTCATATATATATATATATATATATATATATATATATATATATATATATATATATAAAAGTACACCATCATAAATACCTTATATGCATAAACCTTTATATATTTATTATTAATAATGTTGGTCGTTCTATGTTTTTTATTTGCCAAAAGTATATAAAATACACACGGTAACATCATATATATAAATATCTTATATATACCTTTCTATATTTTATTTATAAAGGAGGTATGCAATTTTTCTACTCACATGCTACAACCAAAATGGCATATAGGATGTTTTATAAACTAAACATTTCTCATTTTGGCTTGTCAAAACACAACCATGTTATATAGTACATTCTTTTCTACAATGGGATAAAATTATTTATTGGACGGAAAGTAATAATGTCATCATATCAATACATTATTTTTTTAAACTGGGATTTTAGGCGAATTTACATAAATCGACTAATCCCTCGAACGACTATGAATTGTCTAGAGTCACCGTAAGGGTTTTAGCAGCGACTTGGATTCGAACATAGGGAAGATTAAATTTCTACTATATCCCTTTGAGTCTTAACCCGTGCACTACAAACCAAGTGGTTATAAATTTATAACTGCATTTTATCAATTTGTTATTTTTAATCTTTTAAGTTATAATTTTAGTACATTCTTACCTCTAGTAATTGATGACATGCAACTTTAAAGTTATCGAACTTTACTTGAAATAGAACTTGTAGTAAATCAACATCATTGAATCTCGGTTGATCCCCACCGTACAAGCTTTTGTTCAATCATAGGTTTTTTTAGCCAGATATCTATAAGTTAAATTTTCGTCGATGATCTTCACGCTGCATTGACCGTGTTCCATAATTGCATGCAAAATCGTATGTGTTTCAGATGTGATTTAGGTTTTTTTTTTCTTATTCTCTTATTTTAACCATGTTCTTGTTTGATCCTCTTTTTTATATTACATTATTTTTAATGTCAAATTTTCATTCCTTTAACTCGTAGGAAATTTGAAGGGTAAAGTACAACATCGGTTTGTATACCATTTTAGGTTATTGAGAAACAATGGAAATTCTTGCTCCCAGTGGATCATTTATTTCTATATGCATCGGGATCCCAATTAAACATTGGATTAAATGCAAAATTTAAAAAGAAAATAAAACATTTAAGTATTGATAAAAATATATATATAAAACTTATGTAGATTAAAATCAATATTTTTAGCAATCTTCCATGTAAAAAACCATATTTAATTGAGATAGAGAAAATCTCATTTCTCAAATTTTCCCCCCTCATCCATGTCCATCAATTATATTAATATACAAAGTGAAAGAATAAAATCATGCACCAATTTAATAAATTCATTTTAAATAAAACAATTACATGTGTTTATGTAAGCATCTTTTTATTTCCACTTCCCTTGGACAAAAGGACTTTTACATGTTTGAAATAAATTGCTTGATGTGGGGATGTGAAATGGATGCAGGAGGGGCAAGTGGGATTGGATTAGAGACATCAAGAGTATTGGCATTGAGAGGAGCTCATGTTATAATAGCTGCAAGAAACATGGAGACTGCAAATGAAGCAAAACAAACCATCTGTAAAAGCTATGAAAATGCTAAGATTGATGTTCTTCATCTCGATCTCTCTTCTCTCAAGTCAGTCAAGACCTTTGCAGACAACTTCATCGCTCTTAACCTTCCCCTCAACGTCTTGATGTGAGCCTTTTTCTCTCCAGTTGATTTTCTTGTAGCATCTATGTGTTTTCTAATGTACCACATAGAATAAACGCATGTCTAATTTAAGAAAGATGTTCAAATTGCTAGAAACAATGCTGGTATTATGTTCTGCCCCTACCAACTCACACAAGATGGGATTGAGATGCAATTCGCCACAAATCATCTAGGTATGTCGCCCTCTCATTACATAATATTTATTTACGCCAAATGGGCTATTTAGCTCAATGCCCTTCGGTGTATTTCTAAGTTATTATGGGAACACTTGTTTTGAAATAGAGGCAAGTCATATGAAGGTAATTGAGCTAGCGAGTCATTTAGATATATAACATTATATAAATTTTTTATTAAATTCATGACGTTTTGCCTTGTTAAAAAATGAGTTTATTATATTCATCAGAAGTTCATGGATTTAATTAAAAAAATTTCACATAAATTTACTTGAGGGTAGCATACTCCTCACCAGAACTCCTGACCTTTGGTAGGTTTGAACTCTTGGAGGTCAGGCTCTACCATTAACTCGGATACTGCTAGACTAATGACACTTTAGTTGCTCTCTCATTGTTATGGCATTTGAGGGATTCAATTGAGGAACCTTTGGTCGCCCTCTCATTGTAATATACCTAATTAATATTCCCAGAAAATATAACATCTTCATTATCTTGATCACCATGGCAATGGCATGACCATTTTCAGGTCACTTTTACTTGACAAACCTGCTCCTTGACAAGATGAAGAACACTGCTTCAGCTACGGGTATCGAGGGTAGAATCATAAACATGTCATCAGTAGCTCATCTCCACACTTATGAAGAAGGGATCAGATTTGATGCAATCAATGATAAAAACAGGTAATACGTGGAAGTTGCTTCTTTGACAAAATCTGTTTTAGTATCTAGACTGATGTATACGGATGTTTTTTTCTCATGTACCCCCTAACATGTTGTCTGAATCAGTTATTCAGACAAAAAGGCATATGGGCAATCAAAGTTAGCAAACATATTGCACGCAAATAAACTCTCCCGACGCTTAAAGGTGTTCTTCGTGTTACTCATTCCTGTTTGTTCCTTCTGTGGGAGATTCTGAATTTAGTTGATTGGAAATGCAGGAAGAAGGGGTAAATATTACAGTGAATTCTGTACACCCAGGGATCATAATGACAAATCTCATGAGACATTCCTTAAACCTCATGAGTAAGTGTGTGTGTGTGTGTGTTGGTATGTGAAGATGACCATATTAAAGAGGCATAAGTTGTTTTCTATGTGATCTCTGGCAGGAATTATGAAGCTGCTCACTTATGTTCTATGGAAAAATGTCCCACAGGTACTCTTGATGCAATACTAGGTAGAGATGCACAAAGAAGTTCCCGCCTGGAAAGCCCGGTCCTAGTAAGCCCGGGCTCATGCCAGGCCAAAAAGCCCGATATAATTTGAGTTGTGCATATAAATTTGTAATTTTTTTATGATAAACAGGGGGCAGCAACAACATGTTATGTAGCATTGCACCCAAATTTGAAAGGGATCAGTGGCAAGTATTTTCTGGATTGCAATGAATGGCCTGCAAGTGATTTTGCTAGAGATCCTAAGTTGGCTAAGAAGCTTTGGGACTACAGCAACCATCTACTCGATTCTGCTCTTCAACGCTCCTAATTTTCACGCCACATTTAACGGGTTACAAGTCATCATGGCGTAAACGTTCTCAGACCCAAGTATTATATCCCTTATTTTCCTGCCTTAAAACGCGGTGCTAATAGTCTATATGTGTAATTCTTGAATGTTAAAACGTTCGGTTTGTTTTGAAATGCGTATTTGGTTGGGTTTAGTCATTTCGATCATACCAAATCAAACGAGCTTAATAGATATGAATATAAATTACATTTATCATATATGTTCATCAATCAATCAATTTCTGAAATATCATCTTACTAAAAACATAATGGCTTGGGGATTCTACTTGATATGTATGAGTACTTTTATATAAAAGTACTCATACATATCGCTGTCAGTTACCCATGTACCGTTGGTCAAACCCTTGGGCCACCTAAGTTTGATGGAAATCAGTTATTATTGTGTTGATTTGTATATTTTTAAAGTTCAATCATGTTTTCGATTTTGGATTTATATTGTTTAAATGTGATTCGATTTTGGATTTATATTGTTTAAATGTGATTCAAATTTTGGTACCATTTGCATATGATTTTTGGACCAAAAATTTTCAAATAGTATCCTTAGAGCAATCTCTAAAAGATTTTCAAAATGGATGATAAAAAATCAAAATTTCCAAAAATAGTTATATTCAATTCCAACACAGATGTTCTATTTTACATATTATATTATTAAAATATTTAATATATTTAATAAAATATTAGTTTATCATAAATATTGAATTTCAAAAATTCTTATTGATTGTAGAATAACGATATATCATTTCTCACTCCTACACAATCATTTTAAGGGAAATTTTCGAATTTAGAGAATTTTATTTTCTCTCTCCTACTTTTCTTTATTTCAAAGAATCTCCCGGTAAAAAAAAAAAAATCGTCAAAATCTTTATCTTAAAAAATCTATTAAAAATGCTCTTAATACAAACAAAAACTCTACTAATAAATTTTGTGAGATAGGGGCCGTTTATCAAACACTTACCTGGTTGGTGCTTATCGGTAAAATTTGACACTATTATTTATTTACCGGGTAAGATTTTGGTCCACCAAAACGACATCGTATGCAACAATTTATCCGGTAAGCGTTTACCATGGTAAGAGTCGTCGCCCTCACTTACCGGGTAAGACTCTTGGTTTTTGTCTCGCTCTTACCAAGTAAGATTCTTGGTCCTTACCATATTCATCCGGTGAGGTAATGTTACTTGATAAGCGCTTACCGGGTAAGCGTTTGGTAAACGATCCCATAGTCTTGTAAAATACAACGCTTGTTGAATATGATATTGTTCAATTGTTTACCCACAAAACCCTGAAATTTCAAAGTTTTATACATGGATATAACAAAAAAGTAAAAACTATTGTTTTCGATTAAATATTTGAATATTATATAAACTCTAATAAATCAATCAAATTCATCGTAAATGACATAATGTTCTCACATCTTATAAGATGTGAGACCGTTCATTATGTTGTTTATGATAAATTTAGTTAATTTCTTAAACCATATTAACAAAAAAAAATATGGTGTAACGAATGCATTTTAACGACGAATACAATCTTTGTCTCTAGCTCATTGAGCCTCAACTTCATCCACCTCCCACAAGCCAAGAGCTCGGACCAAGCAGGCGGAGGCCGCAACAATGACCGCCGCAAAGATGGGCGGCACGACCAAGTCCATCTTGGACTTCTTAAACATCTCGGCGGGAAGGCAAAAGAGCTCTGAGGGCACATCAAAAGGAACCCGCACCATGCCTTCCTTTTGAACTTGGCATGGACGAGAGAAGGAAGAAGTTGGAGTTACGGCCCACACATACGCCAGTTCTGGCGCAAAAGAGGTCACCGCTACGGTGACTGTCAAAATGGTGGTCCAGGTGGTGGCGTAGATAAGCAACGGCCACCGCCTGGACAACCTTTCCAAAATGGAATTGAAGCATAATGGAATTATCATTTTTCCAATGAATAACTTGTGGGGTTGAAAAAACATACGCATGTATGTATGTATATGTATTGTGGGAGAATAAGCTGATGAACCAATCCAACAACTTAAGGAATATATTGAAGTTGTTGGGAAGGGGGAAGTGGACCAACTACTCTTAGATACTACTTGATTGGTTAAATATTGGTTGGGATGTGGAAAAAATATGCAAATCATCATTGACTTTGACTTTGACTTTTTTTAATCAAAAAACTTGAACAATCTTTTCACCAAATGTGTGAAAGATCACATATAAAGACATGGGTCATAAGGAATACAACTGCAATTGAAGCACTCTGCCAAGGTTTGAGTTGTGCAAATGTTTCTTCCTGTCCATGATTAAAATGAAGATTCGATTAGGGATGGAGGTCAGGTATGCGTACATCATATCCCCAACCTCCAGCTCTGGATGGGATATACTGCAATTGCTCAAAAGCTTCGTACATAGCCTAGCATCATCCACACTAGGCTCGCACTAAAATGGTAAAAACAATCCATGCTTAATTGAAGAATGATATATCAGATACTTGTAAATAATCATATCTAAGTCTTGGGAGGGTAAGATGTGGGAAAACATTTGCTCTACCACAAGGAGTAGAGAGGTTGTTTCCATGAAGACCCAAAGATCCATGGTTTCTGATACTAGAAAAGATAGTCAAGTTGGCTCATCAACAGTTTGGACTCCAACTGCTGACTGTTATAGAGGGTAATCCAGTTTGAAGGGGTCTAGAAATGGTGGGACTAATTTAAATACATGATATCATAAGTAACATGCCACTTCCAAGACCGGCAAGAAGAGAACCCAATCGACTAGATATTGGTGTGTTCCCTTGGGGTGTATTTGGCACGTGGACAAGACAGTACAGGATGGACGAGCGGGTTTGAGGTAGGCGGATTGGAAGGTTTTAGGGTTTCAATTTGACATAGGTAGTTTAGTAATCTGTCAATCTTCTCTCATCTCCCTCGTTTTTGTTCCACTGATTTTGATGGAATAGAAAATGCATTTTTGGCTCACTTGGTCCTACCATGTTCCCATCTAATGTGTATTGTTCTACCAAACGCACCTTGAGACCACATCCCTAGTTGTTATAGAAACTACATGTCTACGACTAGTTACAACACCATTTCGAGTTTACTCAAGCATATCATTACTCACCATGAACGTTATGAAATCTAGTAGCTAACAACTTGAAAAGTGTTGCAGGAAGTAACTGTGTTATATGTATATTCACATGTGAATAAGTGAAAATAGGCTACCAGCAAAGTTTCAAATTTGCAACTATATACAGCCAATAACCAGTAGGACCAAGCATCAAACTATCAAAGCAGTATTTGATCCAAGCATTGTGAAAAATGATTACAATATGCCAAGTGAAATTGTTACCAGATCTCCATCTTGTGACAGAATTCAACAGAAACCGTCATGAACTGCGAGGGGGATTTGCGAAAGTCGCGTATTTGAATGCGATGTGACTTGGCGCATGATATCGCGAAGACCATTAATTCAACGAATGTTCTATGTGACTTCATCCCTGCCCTAATTGATCGCTTCACGTGACTACTCCACCACCGCCGCCCCTTCCCTTCGCCGGAGATATCCCTTCCAACATAGACAAACAACAGTAATCGATTTCCCTTTCCGATCTCTTTGAAGGCACCGCTGTTATTTCAGGGATTTCCGCATATCTGGTTTGGCTAGGGTTTCTTTTTGATGGTGAGACACTTATTGAGGTAGGGTTTCGACTTCTGCAGATCTGTGTTCTCATCGAAGAGCTGTACCGCCATTGATGGAAAACTTCATAAGATCTATACATAATCCACATTGACTCAGGTGACTGGTCTATCGATTCTCTGTAAAATTCTACAAGATTACAAACAAATATGCTTCACATGGCTTATAAAAACAATTTATTGACTTATTTCGATGTGATATCGATAATAAATATTTTTAAATATTTGGATAAACAACTTACACCGATCCCAAATTGATAATAAAAAGTTTTTGAAAAAGTTAAACATTTACTTATAATAAATTAATAAGTACTTTTATAAAAAAAAAACATAAGTTGTTTTAAGCATCCCAAACACCTCCTTACATATTTTCCAGAAAAACAACCACCTTTTCGTTTTGAATCAAATGTCATCTATGTTTTTGTTTAGATTTTTATATTCTGATATAAAAATATCATATTATAACATATTTAAAATAATATCATAATATTTATTGAAAAAAATTAGATATAAAATAAAAATTATATTTATAAACTTATATTTTACATGTTGATTTTTTAACAATATTATTGTAATTCAACATGATTTCTTTACCATTTATCTATTACCTATTTCGTTAACCGCTATCATAATGGGTATGGTATGGATATGGACAAAAGTTTTATAACATGGATAATTTATCCGTTTCGTTACCCGGTAAGCACTTACTAAAAATATTCAACTTAATATTTTTTTTCAATTTAACCCAACATTTTTCGGTACGAGCTGACGACAGCCATGCACCATCTGTGTATGGCGAAATTGGTAGACGTTACGAACTTAATTAGATTGAAACTTGGTATATTCAAAATTATGATTAAAGTTTTTAGGCCATCTTTACCTTTTTATCGGCCATTCTTATGGTAAAATACTTTAATATAAAATCATAGTTAACATTTTCATTGAATTTACCGACTTTAATAATATATTATTACCGTTTGTATAATCTTAAAATAAATACAGGTAAGTCAATAAGATGAAATAAAAGAAGGTTTGGCCCGAAATTACCATTTCTACCATCATTTTATGGTGAGTAAATTACATATTTCGAACTAATGTTTTCGACGGTTCTTGTCTATTTTTTATATATTCAATGGATCGTATCCTTGTGGTTGCACTTTTACGAGTTACATCCTTTGTGCATTAAAGACCAAACTCATTAAAAAATACAGTTACAAAGACACAACTCGTTAAAAAAATGCAACCACATAGATACGATTGGTTGAATTTTCAAAAAAGAGACAAACCCCGTTAAGGGCATCTAACCACAAAGACGAAACATGTAGCTTAGTCCTGCATAGTGAACAATATTCACGGACGCTTGTTAAATCGCCTGATTGGGTTTTAATGCAACGAGCGTAAGTTTATTCAAAGGAGGTATTTGGTAGGCAGACAGAAGTTGATTGAACAAAACAATAATAAGACTGACAGGTAGCAGATTATCGTAAGATCCTGTGATTTCAATTTGAGATGGGATAATATAGTAATTTACTAATCTTGTCGAATCTCTCAAATTTATGTTCACCTATTTTGGTGAAACAGAAAATGCATTTATATGCCACTCAGGGTTGTTTACCAAACGCTTACTCTGGTAAGTGAACACCAAGTCTCATTACCTTATCGGATGAATATGGCAAGGACCAAAAATCTTACCTGGTAAGAGCGAGACAAAGACCAAGAGTCTTACCCAGTAAGTGAGGACGACGACTCTTACCATGGTAAGCGCTTACCGGGTAAATTATTGCGTCCGATATCGTTTTGTTGGACTAAAATCTAACTTGGTAAGTAAATGATAGTGTTAAATTTACTGATAAACCCTTACCGGATAAGTGTTGGGTAAACGGCCCCTCCGTTCCTTCCTATTTCAGTCTAATATCGCACTAAACAGTGCAAACAGTTTTTCATCATTTTGTCCGTGTCTTATCTCACATATCAAACACCATCGTTGAACAATACTTTGATACAGAACTACAAAAGATATAAAGCAATATGCTATATTGGCTTGTACCTCATGCATTACAAGTTGTAAATCTTGATATATCAACTGATTTAAGACCATAAAATTTAACGAAATCAAATCCATTTGGGTCACAGAAAACTCAATTCCCCAGCATCACATGCACACATTTAAACATGGGTAACATTGTCTTTTCACCCTCATCATTTCAGATCATGTAAACCCACGTTATACGGGATACAGATTGCTACCACTCTAACCAACTAATATACAATACAATGTCAACAGTACAAAATGAACACCAAATACTAGGATTCAAAGTATAAAAACACAGCAGGCAGCCCCAACCATAAAACATAAAAACGACCAAAATTTTGGATAGCCAACTAGTCCAGCAGGGACTTGACAACAATAAAACACAAAAGAAATTGCGATTTTTGATCGAGTGAAAAACTTGCCCACAAAACTAGATTAATGTGTTACGGATTACCTTTTATTTCACTCGGGAATCATTTGCTCATTGTCGGCTTCCCCTTCTTGCTCAATAGTGGGTTTTGATGGTTGACTAGCTCCAGGAGCTTGCCTCTTCTTTATTCCACTCACAATGTCGTCAATCCTTAGAAGCATACAAGCAGCCTCGATGGATGTCTTGAAGGTCTGTGCCTTCACGTTATAAGCATCCCAGATCTACAAAAAACAGACAAGGAGGGGGCAGGGGTAGATTTCGAGCATCAAGTTTTGTACACCCGCGACATATCAATAGAAGATTATCATCTAAAAGAAGGTGAACGGTGGAAAAGACGGGTACGCACCTTAAGTTCTTTCATATCAGCAATTTCACCCGAATTCCCATCAATCCCGGTCCATGCATTCTCCCCATTTGCATGCTGTAAAGAAATAACCAGCAAAACTGTCATTGAACGGACTTCTACAAAATCATTGATTGCATCTTAAAAGGGACCCAGACATCTGTTGCATCAGGTGAATCCATTCTAAAATGGGCAAATAGCATAAAAATGCAACATACTTTAGAGTGGTTCCTATTCTGGTTAAACTTCTTTAGAGAACTTCCATTTTGGTACCTCAAATGTGACATCTCAAACATTTAGGTTGGTTACATTTGAATACATGAAAATACAACGTAATTTGATCTGATTCATATGTTTAAGAAATCACATCTGAGGGTACCAAAAATAAGGGTTTGAAATTATGTTATACAAAATATGAATCGTATCAAAGTATGACTCAAAATTTAGGCTAATCATCAATGACAGATTTCAATAGAGGCATGAGGGTAGGGAACCCAGGTAGTGAAACTTAATTTGGGAACATCATTATTGGAACCGCTTTTCATGAATTCATCAGAAAAGAGAAATTAACCCTTTTTTCTCTAGAGGGAGAAACATCGAGTGAATAAAAGGTCCAAGAAAATAGGTAACTTGCCTTCCCCTGAAGAGCAGTCATAGTTCTAATGACATTGACACCACAGTTCTGTGCCAATGTTCGTGGTATCGCCTCAAATGCTACGGCTGCAGCTTCATAAGGCCACTGTTTCAATAAATAAAGAAATCAACATCCTCATAACACGGAGAGAGAAGTTGAAAAAGATAGCCCGCATATTTTTATTTGTAAATGAGAAAAAATGATCCAAGTTAAAATATCAAAAGAACTTGCCTTTTCAATGCCTTCTATCGATGAGCTCTTCTGCTTCAGAGTTGCAGAAACAGTCAACTCAGTGGCACCCCCACCAGGAACAAGTTTTGGATGCTTTAGGATGTTCCTAGCCACCGACATAGCATCCTATCAACAAGAAAGAGGTATTACATTGGATGTACTTAAATTGCAATAAAATAACAAGCATTGCATCAACGAAATTTTTGGAAGTATATATAATCCCTCCGTCCCAAAACAAACGCCCAAAATAAAAAAATGCAGACAGTTTTAGAGATGTGTAATTATTGAACTTTTTATCAACAAATGACAATCTTATCATAAAAAAATTAAGTAATGAATTTTTTCCATCTCATAATTAAGGGAAGGACCAGAAACTGGACTCTTCTGAAAGTGGACCTATTTTGGGAAAAACTAAAATAAAATAGGTGGATCCTTATTTTGGGACAAAAGAAGTATCAAGCATTGCATCAACAAAATACCTGCAAGTTCCGCTCCACTTCGTTTAAAAGGTCTTTGCTAGCACCTCGGAGAAGAACGGTGCATGCTTTCGGATCTTTACAATCAACAATGTAGGCAAAGAACTCATCACCAATCTTTTTTACCTCAAAGAGTCCAGCCCCAGTTCCAACGTCTGATTCTTGAAGTTCATCGGGCCGATTCACAATCACAGCTCCACATGCCTTAGCAATTCTATTATTGTCGGTTTTCCTTAATCTCCTAATGGCACTGACTCCAGCTTTACTGAAGTAATGGCAGGCTAAGTCACTAAGCCCCTTCTCTGTGATCACCAAGTCGGGCTTGAACTTCAGTATTTGTACGCATAGATTTTCAATGTACTCTTCTTCCATTTTCAAGAGTACTGCCCAATCCTCTTCTCTGACCAATTCTGCATTTGTCTGGTTCTCTCCCTTCTTATATTCCAGAGGGCAATCAAGCAAAATGACACGGGGATTTACAATTTTCCTTCTCATTTTTCCCGGGACGACCACATCTTTGCTAAACATAACACCTTTGAGGACCTTAGAATCTTCCAATTGGCCACCTGGAATTTTCTCAACCTTAATGTATTTCTTAATATCCACTTCTCTAAGTCCCTGGCCTATATCGACACCAACTGTCGTTGTTGCATCAAGTGCTAGATCCTAGAAGATGACAAAGTGACGGTGAGCAAAACACAAAATTAAGAGCGAGGTTGGCAGCCAAACAAAACCTTCACTGAAGTAGTTGAAATTGGGTTAAAACAATATTCAGACTAATTTCTGAAGTAAATCATTTATTATCATAAGGTTTTAGAAATATAATTTGTATTTAGATATAAAGCAACACAAGGTCACAAACTAATGTAAAATAAGAATAAAAATTATGGCTATAGGAAAAACATGAAGATTATTGTTTCGAAATGTAAATAGATAGGTCATCTTTACTGCTCATAAAAACAGTAGATACGTTTAAGCCTAAAAAAGGAAAGAAGAGGAAGAAGAAATAGAAATACTTACTGCTATTAGATCCCCAAACTGACTGGTAAATTTTGTGCCGATACAACTCTTCACCAAACCCAGCATCATGGAACCTGTAATGTGAGAATTATATTTAATGATGACAACAATAACGACAAAACAGTGTAATGGAAAGAAAAGCACATTCAATTATTTTTCATGTGATTCAAATGATCATGGAAGGCTTTGAAGGCAGGTGAAAGGCCTGCCAACATCATTGAAGGCTTTGAAGGAGGATCAATGTTAAAAGTGATCTCACGTATCAGATAATAACAAAGAAACTATAAAAATGAGATGGAAATCCCGTATTGAAGCTAATAGAGATCCATTAACCAGGTGATCCAAAGGATAAGTTGAGAGGTAAAGAGTGCAAGAACTTGAGAAGAAGATGGGTCATGGGTAGTCAACAATTAAACAGTAACTCTACTGATTGCATACATGTCCTAAACTTCGGATAGTATTACTGCGCAATAGGTTGAAAGACTAATTATCCACTACAAAAAATTCAATTAACAACGAGCAATAACTATATATGCTGCACCTGTGTTCACTTTTCATTAAATAAAAAATTAAAAAGGTCATCATTCTCTACAACTGAAAAGATTATACCGTTATAAATGTATTTGAGCAGTTGAACTTTTCTAGATTCTATGTTATTATTACACTGTAGTGTCATATTCTAGGGGAAGAGCATAGAAGTATACATGAATATGTATGATATATAAGAAGAAAGAGCAATGATGGAACTTACGATCATTCACATCAATAGACATGGAGATCTTGTCCAACACAGCAAGAGCATCTTCAAGAGCCTTGTTGTAAGCTGCAAATGCAAAACTCCTTACAACCATGCTGTATAAATTATGCAGATCAACAGAATAGTATAAAATCAAGAAAAGGATACCTCGGCAAATAACTGTAGGATGATACTTCTTATCAATGAAAGCTTCTGCAACATGAAGCATCTCACCAGCTAGAAATTTGAACTTCAACAATCAGTAACAAGTAAAGATAGCAAAAATCAATTAAGCACAACAAAACAGAAAGATCTATAACAATGATTTTAATTAATTAAAGATCATTTGTACAACTAGACATAGAAATTAATAAACAGGTACCAGAAATGATCTGTTGATATTTTATGTTTTAATGCAACCTTGCTCTAATTAAAAGCCACATAATAGTTGCTGCCACAATAAAGGGTGACAATAAAATGTATAAGAAAGGTATACCAAGAACAATAACTGATGTAGTTCCGTCACCAACTTCCTCATCCTGTGTGCGGCTTAGTTCAATCATGGACTGAAAAAATAAAAGGAATGATCATGGAAGCATTAGTAAATTCAAGATTTAAAATATGTAAAGGCCCATGGAGAAGTATATGAAAATAGATAATAGTGAAGCCTATGTACAATCTACAAAAAATTGTGTCTGAATAGAAGAGGTACCAAACTTGGGGTTAGAGAATAAAAAAGAAACTGAAAAATGGTGTTCAGTCATAAATATTTTGAGTAAAATCATTCAGCATAACTACCTTTGCAGCTGGGTGAGCAATATCCAACTCCCGCAAAATGGCATTTCCATCATTAGTGACCACAATACCTACCAAAAAAGAATGCACCCATCACTAAAAATTATATTCTCACATTGACATGCAATGGCCAAAATATACAAAAAAGGGGATACGTTAATAGATCATAAAGACAAATCACCCCTAGGCAAAGGTTTTAAGGCAACAAGGTTAAAAGTTTATCCAACGGGTCCCTTCATAAGGGTTCTAAATCACCTGGCAACAGTATGGGAGTTGTATTATATTCCTTAAGCCTTAGGATCTTATATCATTTAATATTGTAACCAACAATTAGAAAAATATAAATCCTGTATTCGCTTCAAACCATAAAACATCATGCATTTCACTTGCTGCTGACGAAAAGAGGGAAAGAAAGCAAGTGTTGCAACTCTCTCTCTCTCTCTCTCTCTGGCTCTCCGTCTCTGTCTCCCCCATGTCACTTGGAGGCAATAATCTTCACAGCAATGCAAAAGAATCGGTGACTCTGGGCTCAGTGACACCTTATAGCCTAGATGACTCCTTGATGCCGGAAAGGGAAAGGATGCCGTCTCATCATGTGTAATTTTTACTATTCAAAATCCTATTTATTATAAAATTTAAGGATTGAAAAAGATGATCAGCACTTTAATCTTTGCATACAAGCAGAGCAGAATATCACGATCTTGTATAATATTTTGTTGTATTTTCATTTAGCCAATGAAGCAGGCTTCAAACGAGGAACCAATTGCAAAAGCACTTGAACCACTTGACATATATAGATAGGTACATACAAATATATACACACATATACATATGCATGTATGTTAGAAAGTTAAGCACCTCCTTGAGCATCGAGAAGCATCTTTAACATGGACCTTGGACCCAACGTGGTGCGAATAATATCAGCAACTGCCTGTAAAGAAAGAAAGTATGTAAATTATAAGATGGACTTAAAAGTAGTGATTAAAAGGTACATAGGAAGAAAGATCTTAGTAATAATCCCTCTGTCCCATGTAAGGTATCCACATTTACTATCAAGTCGTCTAAAAGATGTGCTATTTTCTAAAATGTAAAAGTTTGGCTCAAATGAACAAATCCGATACCAAACGCAAGATGAAACAGCCCAAGTACAATGTAATTTGATCTCCAGTCCAAAACATATACATTAGGTAAATTGACAAAGAATTAAGGATATTAGAGCATGGCCTCATCTAATGTTTTGATTATTAGTGTGTTGTTGCCACATTGGCAATGTGGATACTTGATGTGGGCCTTGGACTAAAGAAGTTGCTACTGTTCCATCATCACAATAACATCTTGCATCAGGGAGTGTCTTTTACAGCTTTCCCTCTTATCTTTTACTTTTTTAACTGGAACAACAGAAATTGGCTTCTATCTTTAGGATCAATGATGTTTTATTATACCACGATAGCATGCCTCTGCGCCTGCTTATTCTAAAGTTTAGTTTTTGCAAGAACGACCAAATGCCAATTTGACATGAGTAATGTTACTACTTATCGTGGTGTTGATGTCCACCTAGCACAAATCATAAAAGGACACCAAAGAAGGGAGAGGACGAAAATTAAACCCGTTACTCTTTTTAATCTTGTGGAGATACCGATTGGACAATCACTTAGGATGCTGACAAAAGATTGCAAGGGTTTATATAAATCCTTCCTGGTTCAGACCACAGGTAAAAATAAGACTTCCAGGAATTGATTTTTGCATTAAGACAGAAATTACAACCAAAGGCATAAAAGAGATTAGAGTAGGCTCTATCCACTCCCCATGAAGTACGAACCAATAATGAAGAGATTAAAGGTTTTTTGCTTCCTTTTCAGTTTTGTCCAGTAGATGATCCATTGGGGCAAAAAAAATTAAGAATCTCCTTGGTTAAATGAAAATAGGAACCAAAGAGCAGCTATACCAAATGCTAATTCTGAATAGTGTGTCACTTAGAAATCACATTATCATGTGCCTGTGGTATCACGTGATTTCGACAAATCTCTGTAAAGTGCACTGGAAAATATAGCTTTGTTACGAATGTTTGAAAGCTGAACCCTTTAACAATTGATTAAAGGTGGGTAATGTGGTGAATGTGCTAGTAGCCTGCACAAGATTGCATCGCCTAAACATTATATATCTGAGAAGACTAATCTCACTTCACGTGTTAAGACACAGCAAACAAGTAAGAGAACAATTTCATAAACAAGCTGAAGAGACAAATTTTGTACCCATGACCATCCAAAGACTCAAAAACAACATGTTTTGCATCAGAAATATATACTATTGAAAAACGTGAACAGATAATGCAGTAATCAGCCCACAATCAGCATATAAAACAATGAACAACTTCAAAGTTTCTTTATAATAATGAATTGATGGTCAAGTAGTTGAATACCAGTTTTAATATTATGGCGACTGCCTGTTGTATGATTGGCTTAAAAAATAAGATGACAATTCAACACAAACGAATTTCTCACCTTAGAGGCTTGAATATTTGCATGATGCACCTTGCTTCCAGATTCACGAGTGAGGGAATCCTCTGCGCATTTCAAATTGTATACACATGGTCATCATAAAGTAACATAATTCTGGAGGAATAAAAAAGCTTGCTGGTATTGAATTGATTTGGTTCATCATCCCATTAAAAAAATAGTTAGAATACTTTCCATATCTAGTATGATAGCAGTACTAGTGATTTTTATTTTCTTCAATAAAGACACAAGAGCCTTCTAGTCCATTTTTCCTATGATACTTCAGTGCTATGCAGGAATGCTTTTAATGATGTTCTTCTGTGATAATAATTTCCTACCATCTACATTCTTTTTCTTTATCCGTAAAATAGACTTCGGCCTCTCTACATAAGTTATGATTAATTCTTAAAAAATGAAAAAAGCTGGAGGAAATCTAAACCTGACCACAACAAAAAGCTAGTAGGTGTGTCATGTGATATTAGGGACTCGTAAAGCTCACTGTTGAAACTCATACTCCCTCCAGTCCACAATTTGGTCCACAATGCAAAAACAAAGTATAACTTTGTTCCACAAAGTGATCCTCATTAAAATGATAACATCAATACGACCTCCACAAGTTTCTGCCTAACATTAACTTACAAACCTAAGTCATAATTCCATAACAGGCTGGTAATGTGGAAAAGAAGTGTAAGATTCAGACAGGGTCCAAATCAACACCTTGGAAAATTATAAATTAAACCACGTAAGGCCACACAAAACTTGTTCCAGAAAATATGTGTATATATAGACTCTATCGAATTAAGCTAGTGACCACATCAAACTTATGCGATTGAAAATGGATGGTGACAAATCGATGATAATGAAGAGAAAAAAACACCACTTATGCATTACAAAGATAGTAAAACTTAATTTAAGAAGGTCAAAACATTTCACAATATCTTCTGAAACAGAAGTCACGAATAGTTATGAACTTGGAATCAGAACATTTTTCAACACCCTTACCCACGTATTCAAATCTCTCAGTAAAATGCATACAGTATTTCCTCGTATATGCATAGCATTTCACAACTAAACGTGTAAACTTGCAACACCCAGTTATGATTTAAACAGTCATCAAAACCATCATTTCGTCCTCACTCACACCAACCAGGGAGATCAAGTTTTAAGCATTAAAAAAAATAAGTCTGCTTTCGAGTTTTCCAGATGGTAAACCTTATGATCTACAAGGTCTCACTCTCACGAGTGTGACAGTACTGTCTAAACTAGATCAATGTAAGCCAATATTAAGTAACATAAACACAAACCCCACCACCATTATCAGATAAATCAGTAGCAAATCGTGAAATCACAACTGATGATCCTCGATATATGTCTGTGAGTGCGAGAGAGAGAAACTTACTGAGAACGAGAACTGGTGACTGCATGTTTGGAGATGGAAGTGTAAGACCGCAGAGATCAGTTGTTGGAGTTGCAGAGTTTTCTCTAGGGTTTCTCTCTTTGCTTTCTTTTGGACACGAGAAAGAAAATACTTGAAAACGTTGGCAACACTTGAAAACTTGGAAGTTTGCGTTCTCTTTTGGTATGTAACCATTCAAATTCAAATATGGGCTTATTTTAATGGGCCACTATTACAGCCCAAATAGCCCATTAGGGTATTACTATATTTTTTTCTATAAAATATTAGTTGTGTATCTGTGCAATGCAGCGGAAGCCGTGAATTTTAACGATTACGAAGTTTCACTGGTTTTATTATAGAAGATTTAACAATGATATAAGTTACACTTGGTCCTTACATATTAATACAATTTGAGTAAATAAGAGTTATGGTTTCAATTACAGTCTATCAATAAAAAAATTGTATGACAATTTAAAATCCAATATATTTAAAATCCAACATATTTAAACGACTTCACAAATGTGTTTGATTTACACCAAGAGCAAAGAATCAAGAGAGCGAGACCGAGAGTTTTAGAGCAATTTAGTGAGAGATGAATGAGATAACTTTTAATAACCCATGGTGAATATCAATTTGAATCTCATCTTGGGAAAATTATTTTTAAGACTTTTGATAAATCTGGTTTATAAGATAGTATAGATGATTTTAAAATTACTTTATTTTATGGCGTAACAAATATAATTTTTGTTTTTAATGTATCATGCTGCATTGCTCGAGTACCCTTCTATTATATTATAAAAATCCACTTCACTTTTTGAAAATTCAAGTTTACCTCATAATACAACTTCTAATTTTTTTTTATTTTTGAACTCTATAAGCATAATATGGTAAATATGTTCAAATACAGTATACGTGTTGAACCCTAAAAATATGATCCAATATCCATAAAACTAATCCGATTGTAAACTTTCTCGTTCTATTAAAATCACACGAGATAAAAAAAAAAGCACCGATAGGGACCAATAATGAACTGAAACATGAATTGTGATTTAGGGTTCAAGTTGTCGGTTTGAAAATGAAGATGCATCGCGTTGCATTATGCATGAAAACCTGTAATTAAGTAAAACACAATCACGCTTTAAGCAATAAGATCGTCACTTAATATGCTTTTGCGACGTTGAAAACCATTATTGTTTCAGATATTCATTTTGACAATTGGACAAGGAAATGACATATGACGATGGGAAAATACAAAAACAAGGGTACTGAGAATTTATGAATGGAACAATAAAGCTTATATGAATTAAAAGACTGTTTGAATCAAGTAAATGTAAAATGATATGGAAATATATGACCAAAATCATGTTATATGAATATATAAATCAGATCGAAACCAACCAAACAATGAATTTTGATTGCTTAGGTAAAAACAGATTAAACAATCATATCACATGTATAACTTTTATAATAATGTTATCCATATGATTCATCGAACGTTGATCAAATTAAATACAATAAATGGTAAATTTGATACAGGAGAGTGAGGAATAAGAATGATTCGATGAAGAAAATATCTGTTATTCCAACAATTATTAAGAAATTACTAGAAGGGTACTTGCGCAATGCAGCGAGATATATCTTGATTTTAATATTTCATTTTATTTTTTTATTTCAGTTGATGTTATAGTATAGTCTTATGTGATTCTGAAAACGCGATAATGTTTTTATTTTTGAATAAAATATAAATTTAAAGATATCATAAAAATTTGACAAAAATATATAGATATTAGTATCAAATTAACTATTTAAAATTCATTTTTTTTGTGTAATTTTTAAATTCAATTTTTTTTATTATAATTTAATTTAGGTTTAATAACGAAGTAATTTATATTTGATTAACAATATAATTTTCTTATAAAGATAATAATTAATTATTTTGTTAGAATTCGATAATTATCCTAATTATATTTTAGATTTTTTATATTTTAAAATGAGATGTTTATTCTATAATTGGTTATGTTTATCTGTAGTTAGTTACGCGAATTCAAACATGGAGTTTTAATAAGTTGTACTTATGCATAATTTACTTGTAATCTTCAATTTTAAGTAATATGCATAAATATACAATACTTCATGCATAAAAAATGGTTTTTAAAAGTTTTTGTCAAATACTTTATAATATAGTATAGAAACATCGGAATAAGTCAATAAATTGTTTTTATAACCAATCCCAAACAACCCTAAATGTCTAAGAGAGTGAAAAAATAGTTTATTAATTGTATTAAATATTTTAATAACATAATTAAATGGTGTTTGAGATTGCTTATAAAAACAACTTATTGATTTATTTCGGTATGATACCGACAACAAACATTTTTGAGTGTTTGGATAAACAACTTATACCGGTGTCAAACCAGTAACAAAGAGTTTTTAAAGAAGTTAAACCCTTATAACTTATAATAAGTTGATAAATAATTTTATAGAAAATGATAAGTTGTTTCAAATAATCAATCACAAACACCCCTCAGTAGAAAAGTTGTTCAAAGTTTTGACTTTTGATTTTTCACGTCGAAGAAATACTTGACATGCTGATATCGGTTTAAATATAAAATAAATGGAAATAAAATGGAGTAAATTATCGAGGGACCAGATTGGAGGGGACTGTAATCCCTGGGAGGCAAATTGTAAATTATTGATGGCAAGGTGGACAAAGGTAAAAAGCTTGGTACGATCTTGTGTTTTAACAAAAAAACCCTAAACAACAATCCATACTTCATCGTTTTGAATTGCTACTGGAGCAATCGAAAATGGCATTTTCCTCGTATTGTCGACGCCTTGTTAACGGATCTTCTTCTTTGATTACTTCAAGGATTAGTAGCTATCAGATGAGATCCAAGCACTCTATCAGCCGTAAGTTTTACTTGTTCAACTTTTGATTTCAAATTTTAATGTTCAATGATATATTTTAGAAAAAGGCTCTTGAATTTTTGAAATCGATGCCGGAATGTATATTTTTACTGACGTATGTAAACTCATTTGTATGATAAGTATCGTCCTTTGAAATCTAACAAGGTATTATGGTGGTGTTTCTAACTGGGATTGTGATTCGAGACTTCGAATTAAGATTAAACTCAATTTTGTTGGATTTTGTATTGAATTTGATCCTGTTTTTAGTCATGGAGTTAGTGATTTTTCGTACCCTCAGCTTGAATGTTGCCCCTCTTGTTGGAAATGAACAACTAGTTCTAGATGGCAATTTGTGTATTTAGAACTGATACTGGTTGATACTTCTGGGGGAGAAAAGTCGTTAACCACATTAATGGCGGTTTTTATTTCACAATGAAGTCAATAAAACCATGCATTTCAAAGAACTAGGTTGGAATAAAAAATTGGAATGATGAAACTGTATATGCCAGCAGAACACAAGCCCAATCGTCAGCATTGACATTGAGGACTATACATCGAGGACAATTTTAGCTCCAATTTGTAACCATCCATCGCCATTTTTCACCAATTTGTAGTTTTCTATTTTCACCAATTTTATCATCTTTAAACATCAAATGGGCTATTCTTCACCTAGGAATTAGGATATGGGCTGCGAAGAGGAAACTAGCAGCTGCTCATTTTCAGCTTCCTCAAAAATTTGAATTGTAGAATGTGGTAGTTATGGTAAGATGTTGAAATGTGTACATTTCTGTTCATCACTCTATATTTTAGTTGTATGACATTAAAATCGTTAATCGATAGATTAGTGTTCTCTGTTATTGGAGATCTTTTTAAGCAAACGAAATCATAAGAAGATGGTATTGGTACAGGTGCTCAAACGCAAAGTGTCAGCTCTGATAGGCCACTTAGACAATTCGTCTTGGGTAAAGGAAAATCTGCTGGCAGGAACTCTGCGGGTCGTATAACGATATTCCACCGTGGAGGTGGAGCAAAGCGATCACAGCGAACAATTGATCTAAAGCGTAACACTTCATCTGTGGGTGTTGTGGAAAGGATCGAATATGACCCAAATCGTACTTCTCGAATTGCTGTAGTACGATGGGTGGAGGGTGCAGAGGTTAGCCGCCAGAGGAAAGCCAATGTAGTACAAGATTTTGCTCCATCACATAAGATCTTACCTAACATGACCATTAAAGGTCCTTTTTCGTTCTCTTCCCTGCCTGGTATGCTGGAAGATAGAAAGGTAAGTCATTCTGGATCTAAGGTTGATCATGTAGTGGTTGGTCTTCCTAAAGGTGTGGTTCCAGGGTCAAAGATCCCCTTTACTAGTAAAATCACAGCCATAGGAAGCAAAATGACAAGTGTGAATGATATCTTTTTATCTGCCTTTTCTTCTTCAAAAGTGAAGGGAGCTAATGCACCTTATTCCTTTGTTAGCGCGCTGGGTTTGCCAAGGATGGCAGTAGCTGGGGCAAAGCCTGATTTTTTTGTTCCAAGAATGAAAGATGATGTTAAAGAAAATGAAAGTTTGTCTCTTGATGAGATCAAAAAGTGGGACAAAGATAGCATTGTCTGGGGACATAAGTTGAAACGTAAAGCAGCTGTTTCTTGGCAGAGTCTTAGGCATCAAGAAATGTTAGGGCTTGGTGGAGTAGCCGAGCTTAACAAGTCAAAGCCGAAGCTGAAAGCAATGAACAAAGAGAAAAGTGGTGAGAAGTTTACAGCAGATCGTGCACCTGTAACTTATATATTAGCCACCCATCAAATGAAACCCGGGAAGATGGTGATGAATTGCGATTCATCTAAACGTTCACAAAATGAATTGCTGCATAGATACTGATACTGAAGACGGCTTTACGCTCCAAACATGTCAACCTAGTTGAGATAAGTCCGCTTCATAAGTTTCAAGATGACTCTTGCTTTCATATTTGTAGTTCTTCTTACGAGCATTGTATGTTTCTTTAGTTTTTCTGAAAATCTTTTGGGTGCTCCCAGATATAATGCACAACTATAATCTAAGCTGTTGGCAAATTTTTTGTTCAACCTTCTTTAGCTTCAGCGCCATTACTTCCATACGTGCCTTCCTTATATATTAATTAGTGAAATGTTACTGATAAAGCTTCATGAATATTTCTTGTTTGATGATACATCCCTGTGCATCTTTCCACCAAATTTGATGACCTGGTTCTACAATCACCACTGTGATGTTGAATCAATCCAGACGAAATAAGTTGGGTTTCAGAAAGATGAGTAATGATGGAGGTTAGTTCAATTATAGAAAACAATACATTTTATGGATTGATCTTTTTAGACTAGTAGCAATCATTGGATGGGATTATGGACAATGCATCCAGGGTCAAAATGATGAGGGTGAATTCATCCACCTTCGTCATGTATGGATAGGGCTGGCCTGCCTTCTTTATTCCAGAAGGGTTAAGTTCATCCTGGGCATTGGATGTGTCACCCAACGGCCCTGGATGTCCTGTCCACAATACAACTGTATGTGGATCTGTATTCCTTTTAGTGCATGTTTGGTATGCGGCACAGGATAAAAGGAAAACTTCTCGTCCCATGTTTGACGCGACGATTAGATTGAGACAACACACAGCAAAAAACCCAGTTTTTTTCCCCTACAAAAATAGGGGGAACAAAAATCAGTGACATGAGACAAGATACACAAATTACTAAACTACTCATGTCAAATTAAAACCATCATAACTCTCTGTTACTTGGGTCATAGCATTACTGCTTCAGTCAGGTCGTCAATCCTGGTAAAGTTATACATGACTCATATTTGTCATTAATATTGGTGCCATAGCCATATTATACCTGTTCAAGTGGATATCAAAATTGCATCATGTTGCAGAATGCAGACAAGTCTATTTCTTATTCACTAGGGAACAAAGCTGGTGCATGGTGGAACAGACAAAGGTAGTGTTCGACATCACTATCTTTCTGTTTGCATTTTTAACAATGAAAGCATAATCATCTACAAAATTACATCCCCAGACCTGTATCCTGTGAATTTGATTCCCTTGGTATCTGGTTTTTGTTTAAATGGGGTTCCTGATCATGGGGAATGTTATTTTGTGCTTTTGTTGAATCCCCACCTAGGGTCCTTGATCTGATTTAGGTGCTCATTACCAACCCCCCCCCCCCCTTCTCMAAAATCGACAATTGATGATGCAAGATCTAAGGGTGAACGTGGTTGGGTTGTCTGTGTTGAATGCATTTAAACAACTCAACCAATATTTGCGATTTGGAAAATCTCAACCCAATCCAACTCGAACCATACGGATTAGGTTGGTCAACTTGGTTGAGATGAAACTTTAGTACATCAAAATATTCTCGTTTGGTTTGCTACCTTGATTATGGCGTTTTCTCTATTCAATGCATTTATTCATCATCAATCAATTGGTACAACTTATCTATACTCCTTAAGTAGATCATATTCATCTATTATTTTTTAATTTGCATATATACAATCACTTCTACTAAACATACATACAAAGGAGTTACATAGAGATGGAGAAAGAGATGTAAAGTATCTGTGTATAAAGAGGGTGATGGTGTGATAGTCTTGGTATACATATTAATAAAGGACTTGGGGGGTGTTTGGGATTGCTTATTTAAGGTATTTATTAACTTATTTCAGTGTTTTATGGTAATAAGGAGTTTTTAGTGTTTGGATGGAAAAAACAAAAAAAATACTTATGCCGGTTTGCCACTGTTAATAAAGAGGTTTTGATAAGTTACTCCCTTGTAACTTATTAACTTATTCAGGGATGGTATCAGTAATAAAGAGTTTTTAGTGTTTGGATGAAAAAAGAAGAGAAATATTTATCAGAGCTTATTATGTTTTGGTACCCCATAAGCTGATCCGAACACTTTTTATAGAACTTAGTTTGACACCATATAGTAGCCTCCTAGAACCTTGCAAAGTCATTATCATTATCAATGGAACCTTGTCAATTAGTTTTTGGAGATCGGGTTCTCACTACAGGTCCAAGTGGGAATTCAATCTCTAGACTGGAAAAGATTTGCTAGCAATCATATTAAATACATGAAATAGAAAGGTATTAGGCTCAAATAGCCCTAACTCAATTCCAATATAATATTTCCAATTTAAATATTTTACAACTCGATGAAACATCAAATGGCTTAAGGTTGTGACATTGAGAAATTAGCTCAAATGACCATTTCCTTCGTTCAAATTGACCTCCTAACTATTTCTCTCTCATGTCGACCCAAACATTACTACATCCACAATACCAAATGTGGACCTAGCTAAAAGACAAAAAGTGTCAAATTCAACCAGTTTATGTCACAATTGCATATTTGTGTTGAATTTTTAATCTATAGCCAAGTCTGCAATATGCAAAAAGTGACATCTGGATAAAAATAAAACCCATAAAAAAAATAGTTATGAGGTCAATTTATATGAGGAAAATAGTAAATTAACTCTTGAGTTTACCAGGTTTTTATGCACCCCTAGTCAAATCCCATACTTAATGTGATTTTCTGTAAAATGAAGGATAGAATCTGAAAGAATTCAGACTCACCTCTATCTAGATAACAATAGCCACAGAACAATAAAGACCCATGAAACACAACCATTCTCAGTGTCACCAATATCCAAGAATCTTTTAACAATTTTCTTATACAAATGTAACACCCATCTAAAAAGATTCATAAAAATAACAACTTCCATTTAGAAAAAGAGAGATTCTTCTTCTTCTTCACACCTAAGGTCCTAAACATAAACAGATCAGAGTACATGACTTCTAAATCTCCCCTAAAAACACCATAACATTTAAATTATCCCTACATCACCAAAAAAAGGTGAATAGATAGATACAATGAGAGGATGATAGAGAGGTTCTTCAACAACTAAGCTTTCTTTGGGGACTTGGTTGATTTGGAAGGAGATTTTGCAGGTTCCTTTGTAGCTTTATCATGAGACTTCTTTGGCAAAAGAACTGGATTGATGTTTGGAAGAACACCACCATGAGCAATTGTCACACCAGCAAGAAGCTTTCCAAGCTCGTCATCATTTCTTACAGCCAACAAAACATGTCTGGGTATGATTCTGTTCTTCTTGTTGTCTCTAGCAGCATTTCCAGCCAACTCCAACACCTGAATCCCAATTCCAAAATCACACCATGAACAAAAACATCAAGAACTGATTCTCAGAAACCAAGATTATCATGTGGTTTGAGTGATAGTTTGATGAACAAACTCATGTAGTTGATTCAGAAATAGCAGAATTAACCCTAAAACGTTTCATCAAATTTTCTGACCTAATTGGAAATCAAGATTATCATGTGATTTAAGTGATAGTTTGATGAACAAACTCATGTAGTTGATTCAGAAATAGCAGAATTAACCCCTAAAACGTTTCATCAAATCTTCTAACCTAATTGGAAACCGAAATTGTCATGTGATTTAAGTGATAATTTGATGAACAAACTCATGTAATTGATTCAAAAACATCAAAATTAACCCCTAAAATGTTCCATCAAATCTTCTAACCTAATTGAGCTTGATTTCACTTTTTAACCTAAAATCACTCGCAATTATAGATCACTGGCCTTAGATTCACAAAATCAATGAGACTAATCCGCATTTTCTATTAAAAAACAAACATCAACATCAAGTTCATAATCGATTTGAATCATTAAATCCTATGCATCGGATAAAAGCCAAAATCAACAAGTACCATAATAAAACCCTAAATTTTGGGAATACCTCAGCAGCAAGGTACTCGAGAACGGCGGCGAGGTAAACCGGTGCACCGGTACCCACACGCTTGGAATACCGACCTTTCTTCAGGTACCGACCGATCCTACCGACGGGAAACTGTAGACCGGCCTTAACGGACCGGGTAACTGGCTTCTTCTTGGGACCACCGGCCTTCCTTCCGGCAGCACCCTTTTTCAACTTCCCACCGGTCTCCATTTCAACGGCCGACGACTTGTAAAGAGACTATGGAATAAATGGATAAATTATTAGCTTTTCCGGAGATTCTTTGTCTGAAGGTAAGAGAGAGCGTGAAGATAGGAAAGGGCCTGAGGGTTGATTTATACGGTTTTCTTTGTTTTGGCGATCCTAGTGGTTTTTGTGTTGTGGCCGTTGGATTGGGTTCAATCGAGCGGTAGTGGTATTAAGTGATCCGTGTCATTGGGATTTAACCAATCAGAGAGAGGCATGTGAAGTTTCTATTGTCTTAGGTAAAATCAGATTAGATCTGCAATAGGCCGGGTCACGGGTGCATCTGACTTGACCCGAATAGTCAAATTGTATTATTGGTTTTGAAATCAGATTTTGACATAATACTTTTATTGTTGACGTTACAATGATGGACGTTTTTTTTTTTATTTTTATAAAACCCCCAACTTTTTGTATTTTTCATATCGATTTCATTTTCAATTTACTAAATTAATAATGCATATAATTCATAAATATAGGCCCGGCCTTAGCCACGTGCAGCCCGTGCGATTGTACAGTGCATCAAAGCTCAAAAGGACATCAAATTTTTATATAATATTAGTTTTGGGTTTGGAGATTTAATAATTTGAAACTTAGGCTTTAATTATAAACAGAGGGCCAACTTACCAGATCTATTAATAACAAACCCAATGACTTGAATCGATGACAATAGGATAGACGCATCACAGTTCACAAGATGATTGGTTTTGGCGATTTGAAATTGACGATTTCTATTGTTTTTTGAGTGTTTGAGTTTTTTGATTTTCAACGATGACGTTTTAGTTCCAGAGGAATACGATTAACAGTGACGAGTCTAACGACTGTCCATGCGACGATGGATCGATCTTGAAGATCAATCGATGCATTGCCGATTGCGCCGACTATATATATATACTCGAATACACGATTGTCGATTAAACAATGAAATCTCAATCCTTTAAATCTAGATACAGCCGAATGCATTGTATTCCTTCAAATCTGGATTCTGAAACTGGAAGTGGAACTGTGAAAGTCGATTTCATTGTTTTTGAAACCAATGTATGATTTTGTTTCTAAATTCTAACATAATAACATTTAATTTATTAATTTTGACATTATGAATTCATTGTATTTCCAATTGATACAAGCTCTCTTATCATCTTATGGTAATGATTGCTGACTTGCTAAATGTTGAATATGGAAAAGTAATTGATATATTTGCTTCAAGAAGTGCACGAAGAAATCGTTTTAGGTAATATATTTATATTTTGTAATTTAGGGTTTTGGTTTTCATATCCCCCTTTGTATTTTTCATGTTAATTAATAAAATTTGACGTAAGGTTGAAATTTAGTTTGAATATGTTCGAAACCCTTTAGTAAAATCGTATCTTTCGTCGTTTCATTTGCTTAAAAAAAAGCACAAGGGTATTTTTTAGGATCTTCGCACATGGCATCAAAAAACTCAGGAACGACACATTAAATAGATACATATTAATTATTATATATTATGTATAAAAGTCATGAAATATAAAAAAAAATAGTAAATTGTCATTTCACATCAACTTTTTTATAGGGAGGGGGAGACCCCTCCAGATCAAGAAAAAACACTAAAAAGCAACAATGAAGCGTTCGGGTAGAAGGAAACCTCAACTACCAGAATCCAAGGCACCCCGAGGGAAAAGAAAGAGGGAACACAGAAGAAGAAAGACGAGAAAAGAGGGAAAAGGAGAGAAAGAAGAAAGAGAGAAGAATAGAAGAGGGAAGAGAAAGAGGGAAAGAGAAGAAGAGAGAGAGGAAGAGGGAGAGAGAGAAAGAGAAAGAGAAAGAAGTCGACCACAAGTGAAGGGCCCAGCCAAGCCAAGACCGGGAAGTAACGGAGAAATTTCACATCAACTTTAAGATAAGAATCAAGACTTTTGTACAAAACTTGAAGATGATGAGGTTTTTATAGCGTCTCCAACAAATTCTCCAAAATAGAGAAGTAAAAGGTCAAATTTTCTAACAAAATTTACCTTCTTCTACAACAAATTCTATATTTTAGAGATTACATAATTAATTATATTATTAAAATATTAATACAACTCGTAAAAATTAAATTTTTCTCTGATAAACATTTAATTTCGAACAAGCTCATTGATCGTAGAATGAATGAAAAAACATCTCTCTCATACGTAATTATTTTTAGAAAAATCTTCAAATTTGAAAAAAAATTCATCATCTCTTTCACATTTTCTCCATCTTGGAGAATGCTTTAAGAAATCTGTTGGAGCATTTTTTAAAAATCTCCACAATCTCCATTTTGAAGAATCTGTTGAAGATGCTCTAAGAACTTTCTACAATGTTGGTTAAAAAGTTACATTTTTTGCTTATTATAACCTTATATTGGAGATGATTTAGATGCACACCTATTAATGTTGGAATTAGGTCAAATTATGCATTAAAATATAAAAATAAATAATGATATTGATGTGTGAGGAGAAAATTGATAGATACAGTGCATTTAGCCTACCCTTTTTTTCTATAATGTATACTTGAAAAAATAAGCAAATTAAAAAGAAATCATGTCGAAGAGACAGGTAGAGCAGTTCTAACATATACTATACAGTATAATTTTTAAAAAATAATGTATCAAAGACCAAAATTCGTAAAACAATTATTGTTTAACTCTAATGGCTATTTTATGTTAGACAGTCTGACATAAATTATACTGTCAAAATAAAGAAAGTTTCAAATATAAGTCATGTCCTTTATATAAATCATACAAATCAATTCATTGAGATGTTTATGGAAATGATGAATGTTTATTTATTATGATTTGAATATTTATGTAAAGTTATTATAGTCCACAATATAATTAACGTTTTATATTAGGAAAATTCGAAATATTTATGAAACGATATATTCATTAGACTAGATAGACGGTTGTGATTGGTTTGTATGGTTTGTATGAATTACATTGTTAGTATTTGAAACTTTATCTATTAAAATACCATATATTAAATAAAATACTGTTTCTTTTTGCTATAAATGGAGCATGCAAGACGTAACCGGTTGAGCATTAACGATGTATCAATGACTTTAACTTCGATTGATCGTTGATGATGTATCGAGAATTTTTGTTTATAACTGATATTGGTGTTATGACATCTGAAACCTCATTATTATATTGCCCCTTTTTGCTCATAGGGCATTTTGTAAAAACGTTTAACCATTGCCACGTCTTTCTCTGGTGAAGAGGTCAAATAGAATCAACTTGAAAAACAACATTTTTTACATAACATTTAGGGGTCGTTTATCAAACGCTTACCCAATAAGCGTTTATTAGTAAATTTAACACTATCATTTACTTACTGGATAAGATTTTGGTTCACCAAGACGGTATCGTATGCAACAATTTACCTGGTAAGCGCTTATTGTGGAAAGAGTCGTCGCATTCACTTACAGGGTAAGACTCTTGGTATGTATCTCACTCTTACTGGGATAAGATTCTTGATCCTTACCATATTCATCCGGTAAGGTAAAATGACTTGATGTTCACTTAACTGAGTTAAACCTCCTATCCAGATGAAATCTTTTATAAATTTTAGGTAAACAACCCCTAAGATTTAAACAATAACAAGAAAATATCGAGAAACAGATACCAATCAACTGATCCTTTAGATTATGCATCATCGACTCACCTAATTAAATACTTTCTCAAATGAATTTGCATTCGCTTGAACATCGACACGTGTAAATGTCTTTGTTTGTTACAAAATGTAAACCAGCACAAGAAAAATAAACACCACCTCACAACCACGTAGACAATGGTATAGTCATCCCTAAAGCGGTGTCAAGAGCCAACATGACAACTGTGACAAACTAAGACCCTATGAGCTCCCACTTGATCCACCAGGCTTGACGACCACCGAATCGCCGTCTTCAAGGTTGTATGGTTTAACCTCCCCACCATCTTGCGTCTTCGTTTTACAAACTAATAAAACTAAGCTAACAAGACTATTCTATTACAATAAGAACGATGCGCGAGTCGTAAATTAAAACATTAAATTACAACCCATGATAACATACATTTTAATTTCCCATGGAAAAAACAAACAAACCAAATGACTATACCATGTCCATTCATATGTATAAAACATATATACAAAAAAACAACAACGACCGAACAGTAGATCGTTTAACTACAAACATGTAAAATACGATATAAACCGTAAGAACGCCAAATGGACTAGGGACTAGTAATGAAACTCGAGATGCTATTAAAGACAAATATAATCAGCCTTAAGTCCATTAAAAAGAATATAACCATCCGTTGAAACCGTCCCTCACAAGGGAAAAACAAAAATATCTTATCTTCTCGTTTTTCTAGCGTGTGACCCAATAGGATAATGCGATCTTAGCAGTGTCGTTGTGACGCGAGCATAAAATCCTACAGACTCACACTTACACACGACACACACAGACATAGACGGTGGACAACCTCTAGCAACACCTCACCCGCCCCAAGACCCTCATGGAACTTGCTTTAGAAACTAGCTGATGTACATATCAAAAGTTTGACAAAGATTAACTGATAAGCTAGATGAAAAATAGAAAACGACTAAAAATGACATTTTGAAGAATTAGTTAATTACAACCTTTCATATTATGATTAAAACAAATCCCTAATAATATAATATGCTAATTAATACAAACAAGATAGAAAATAAAATGAAATAATATAATACATTAATTAAAATATTTCAAAATGATTATATATATATATATATATATTATAAAATTTGCATTTGTTAAAATAAAATTTAGAAAAAATCTACATTAATTTATGATTTTAAATAACMATTACATATAATATGAATAAAAATAAAATTGATCAACCTCACATATCTTAATTAATTAATAACTTATAAAAAATATAATTCATAATTAAATTAAATATTTTATTAAAATCATTTACCATGATTATATTACATATGAAACAAATTAAGTATAATTTCAATTTTTAGTTTCTACATGCCAACTATAATCATGGTAGTTGCGGTGAAGTAGGCATAAATATCAACACAATTTACATATTTTTTTAGAATTATTATATTAATTTTTGATAACTAAATATATTGAATAATAATAAAAAATAATAAAATAAAAATAATTGATATGATTAATAATAATTCTAAATAATCAATAGTTAATATTGATGTATAATGTATACTTAAAATTAGTTATAATATTAATTAATAGTTAGGAGTAATAAATAACAACCAATATTAATCAGAATTATAATTGGTAAGTGTCGAAAAGCTCATAAAACGTTACTTTAAACAACGTTTCAATAAGTTAACTTATGTTTATCAAACATAGCCTAAGAAGATGGGATTACAGATTTGCAGTCGTATTAAAAAATAGACAAAACTAAGTAGAATACGAAAGGATTAGCCTAAATGACAAAAGCCATTATAAGTGTCAAAATGAGCTTAAATAAGGAAAAACATTATCCTTAGAAAATTAGAGAGTGACATATGCAAATTCGGGACCGTTTAGTAAACGCTTACATGGTAAGTGTTTGCCGAGTAATTTTTCTTATTTGATGAATATGACAAGGGTAAAAAATCTTACCCAGTAAGAACAATGATAAAGATGGAGAGTCTTACTCGGTAAGTGAGCGTGACAACTTTTACCCGGGTAAGTGCTTACCAGGTAAATTGTTGCGTACACTACCATTTTAATGTACTACAATTTTACCCAGTAAAATAAATTGTAGTGTTGGTTCCTAACGGTAAGCGTTTAAGTAAACGACCCCTTCCTCTGTTATAGGATGTATTTGCACATCCTAATATTTTTTAGGTACAAGATGCAAATAGTCCATAATTTGAGGGGTGTAATTGGAAATTATTCCTATAAATATTCACGTCCCCTGTCCCTTCTTTATCCTCTACGCACAAATATCCTTCCCCCTTTCTGAGTTTGGATAAAGCCATTATTCGCCATTACGGGTCTCTTTCTATTCATAGCTATGTTCTTCGAACCTCGCATCTCGATCTTCAAATTTATGTAAGCAGATCTTTAATCAATCAGAGTCATGTGTCTCATCTCCGTTTGAATGTGTTTGATCCTCTTCGATTCAAGTCGAATCGGCGATCGAATCGACCATTTTAGGGCTTAGTGGTTGATTTTTGAGGAAATTAGGGTTTGAAGAGCATCGGACAATGCATTCGGTGCCTTCACTCGAATTGCTTACCCGGCCTTATGGTACCTCCTTCAATGGCGGTTGTTCGTCTTCTCATCGTTTGAGACATCGTCTTGAGAAAGGTGACCGTCGTGGTAATCTTAGTTAACAATCACCCTCATCCTTAGCGTCTATAATTACTCTTGTCGGTTTTTTCTTCCTTCTTTATCTCCCGGTTTTTCTTCGTTGTCATCATAATTTTGTTTTCACACGGCGAATCTACTCAATCGTTTGATTGGAAACCCACTTTGACATCCGGGATTGTTTGGTTCCACGTTTGAGCAGAAGTTTGTTTGGACCTTTCTATTCTCTTATTTGGCGGAAGAAGGTAACATTATGTTGCACGTGTAGACATACTCTGTTTTTAGAAATTCTCTTTGGATTTATCATTCATGAATTGAATCAAAAAAGTTATGATAGTGCACTGCAGATGTTGTATTTCTGCATAGCCGCATTGGATCCACAATTTACAGTGCCAGAAAGATAATTTAGTTCTATTTTATTTATTGTGAGTACTTGTGTTCTCATTTTATAAGTGATTGCTCAACAGATTTGGTAATCAATCTGCATATAGAATAATGATTCTTGTGATCATGAGCGAACTCCGATGGAGATATATGGTAGCAGGCTATTTCATTGTTTACTTCTATCTTGATCAGGAGCACAGTCATATTTGGATTGAGAAATCCGTAGTATGTCATATTCAAGGTCCTAAATGGTGTGAGGGTGTGGCGGCGAAGCCATGCCTCAAGCCTTAAGAGCCATGGCGAAGCCATGCGGTTTTTCAAGGTGTGACTTAGGCAAATCCTTGTATCATATATATAAACGTATGCTTTCTACTACTACTCAATAAGTCAATAATAATAAACAATTTAAATTACGATATATATAAAAAACTAACAAATAACACATTTAAAAGCTAAGATGAAAAATCAAATATCATGTTAAAAAACCGTGGCCATGGTGTGAGATGCAAGCCTTAGGCCATGGTGCATCATGGCCCCTTTTGTCGCAAGCCTCTCAGAGCAGTGGTCATATTCCAATACACTTTTGGGGCTCGAATCTCATCCAGTTGATTCGGAGTATTTCAGTATATAATAGTTGACACAGTCGGATGTCAGCCTCTGTGTTGCAAATTAGACTTGGAGATATCTTTGTAAGATGTACTTTTATCCCAACTTTCATCTGATGCTTTATTACATCACTTGGGTTTTCTTTACCCATGGTATTGTATAGGCGAGATGATATACAACATAAAGTTTTGATGGCACCACCAGGTGCAAGATGGTGGGCTTGCCACAGGTTACCAAGGCTATTGATTGCCAGAGTCGTTGCTGACTGCTAGGATGTTGCCATGGCACGACAGTGACAACCATGATTAGAATATGCATAACATAGTATTTGCTTTTTACCTTCTATACTTCACCAATGATATTTCCGGTTGCTGCTTATGTTAACATGTACTTCTTACCGTCTCAAGTGCGATCTTTGTTTTTTCCATTATATTTCAACTTCTAAGTTCATATGTGTTTCTTCCTTTCACAAGTTTAAATTGAGTTTGTCCATAGATATGTTGAGTCTTGCAGATGCATACAAATCGAAGTAAACTTTTACCAATTGAAATGGAAGCTTCTGCAGGACCCAAGATCAAAGAACCGATGAAGATCGACGTATACTTTTTGTTATATGTCTTGTTTCTCTCTTTTTCTTCTTCTCTCATCAACCCTAAATGTATTCGAACTTGAATAATTGTATTCATGTCTTAGTTCACACTGTTATTACTTGCATTGAAAATATACAACACCTTTGTTTCCAAGTAGACTAAATTCACCATATTATGGGATGATGGCTTGATGATAAATGGCTCAACACTGGCCTCTATGTTGCTAGAATCTTACTTAGAAATATATCATTATTCTAAATTTAAATATGTATGACTAGATATTCTTGTTTTTTTTATGATACTCTTTATACTTCACCAGTGATTTTTCTAATTTTCTATCGTCACCTGAGTTCACATGTGAGAGTTGTGGGTGTACATAATTCAAAGTGAAAGCATACTAATGGATTCGCGAGGCAATTGGATTGTTTCTCTAATGTGCTCTGCCAGTGTAGCGCATTGAATTTCCATTGCCAACATTGGTGTATGCCTGAGCTGTATTAGCTTGCTTATGCTGTTTGTACAGCTTGTGCACTGATATGCTCGTAGATAAGTCCAAATGGCGGATCCTTAGTCCAACATTTTAATTTAGTGTTTGGGTTCCTTAAGATTAAGGAGGTTGTTGGTTTGAAGACCAGTTCCAAACAAGGTATTTAGCTTGCTTTAGTCTAAGTAGATGATTAACCTCTTGCTCTTATATTATACTTGATACTTTCAAACTAGTTGCAGAGAAATTCAGACATTTAAGTAAGGAAGGAGTGTAATTTTTTGGCTTTCCTTTTGGACCTTTTGCACTGCATCCAGTCTACTATGGATTCACATCTAATACATTTCTTTTGCAGTTCCTTTTTTTTTAAATGCAAATGGACATTTGCTCCCGCATTGGTTTCTCCCCTGATGATATTAACCGCCTTCATGGGATCCATTTGGATACACTTGGGTCCACTTATGGAGTCATGGGAGATTTTTCTGTGGATGAACTTGCATATGGAGCAACCAAGTTTTTGAATATCCAAGATGATGATGGTGTTTTGGGCTCCATACCACCCCATAAGAAAGGTGTGTTTCAGATGAAAAATGAGTGTGGAGAGGCTCATCAAAGCGAAATGATTACCGAGGATCATAAGAAGCTTTTAAGCAAATGTGCTATATTTCCTTGTTCAAGCAAGACCTTGTCCTCTGTTGCAGCATCTGTTGGAGGGGCACGTAAGGGGAAAATGAAAAATGACACTGATTATACAACTAGTGGAGTCTCAACACATGATACTGCTAAATCTATTAATCCTCCCTGCTCAAGTGCTATATCTCTACCTGTAAGTATCGACTTCATTTGTCCTTGGATATTTAGTTCATCTTGCCTTGCTTTTCCGTAAACTGCAATATTGCCATACCCATTCGATTCACACTCGCTGCTGATTCTGAATAAACTTGAAACTGATAATTGTTATCCATTTTGGTTCTACTTCAGTACTTCTGCCTTTTAGGTTTTGCATTCGACAACTCAACAGTTCCTTCTTAAACTGTGACTATGGGACCTTGGCGTATCACTATGAATGTTACTAGTGAGCATGACCATAAAATACGATTTGTAATAGAATAGTTGTGTAAATACCCAATTGTGTGTAGTGTATATGTACATATGATTTGCAGGTATAAAAATGGCAAAACTTGACTTTACCAATGGGCCATATCTAAATAATAACCTAAAGTCGGACTTTTACCATGTTTTAGAGGCATACAAGCAGGTGTACTGATGGACTTTAATGTTTCTAAATAGAACCAAATGCATGCTATGACACATTGAAAAAGTAATTTGTGTTGTAAATTGTTACAGAAGCCTTTGAAGCTTGTATCTGCGATGAAAGGTAGCCATGAGAAAGGTGGAGTGGGTCCACCACTAAAGAAGCTGAGCGTGAAGTGGGCCCCAGACGTGTACGACCCGGTACCCACATCAGTGGTGAGCAACAGGGGTAGTAGTCGTAAGCATAATGGTAAGAAGAAGTCGAAGAAGAAGGGGAGTAGAGAAAGTAAAGGAAAAGAGAAGAAGCAAAGTCGTAAAAGAGGCGGTCGGAATTCTTTGAATTGTTATAGTGAGCAGAAAGAGGAAGTAATATTTGTTTCTGCAGTGGACTTCCATCTAGACCTTGACCTTTTCTGTGGTAGTAGTTTTCCCAATCCGTATGGCTCGAGTTTGCACCTCTCGTCAATTGCGGAGGCCACCTAGCTAGCTTTTCACGGTGACAACACAGGATCCTTTAAAAGAGCTTTGTTGGTTTTGTAGATATTGTGGTGGAAAAGTTGTATAAGTTGGGTTTAATCGGTTATGGATTGATTTTCGTGAGTGTAAGATAACTGTATTGTTCAGAATCGAATCCTTTTCATTAAGCTCTCTTTTATGTACACCTTAGTGATGAGTTGAGATAACCGGATGGATGATAGGGAATTAGAAATGTACCTAACAAACATATGATTACCAGATGCACATATCAGGCAAGTGTTTTGACAATATAAATAGATCGTTGGTATGTAGGGTGGACTTGGTATATGGTATCAATAATTTTTTTTACCAATACTTTGTACCTACTTGATATGTAAAATTCAACACAAGATACCAACCAATTATACTTGCTACCAACTTGATTGGTATAGATTAATACTGGTTTTGTATAAACTTCAAATTATATATATATATATATTATATATATATATATATTATATATATATATATATATGAAGAACTTGTCATTTTGTTCAAATTATGAGACATTTTGAGATTGCAGGTAATAATATCATGTTTAAGGTTTATGATTGCACGGAAAAGGACTTGTAAGAGACTATGATCCAACTACTCGATATCAACGATCTATTAGGAATTTGGTTAACGACCCCTAAATTGTCTATCAATATAAAATGAACACAAATAGTATCTTGGATCTTTAAAGACCACCCAATTCTTATTACTATTGCAAGTTACATATATGAACAATAACAATAAGTACGCCAAGTTCCATTATTCATGGAATGATGGGTTTGAATCAGAAGAAGCAGCAACTGTATTTCTTACAATCAAACCTCTACACTCTTCTGGATTTTCGTCACAAAAAACCCAAAACCAATCCATAAAATACCACTCTTTTCAGCATTAGGAAACCAAAATGGTATCAAGATCTTGATCCTACATGCTTCATGGGAACGTCTTATTCCAACCCCAAACCCAAAAGGGAATTCCCGTTGATACACGCTGCTCGACTAAACTCTGTCAATTGTATAAAATGTTAGGATGCAAGTTATCATCCAAATAAGCATGAAAATAACACACTTTGTACCAATTGTAATAATAAGATGGTTCCATTGAATTGCAGACATGTAACAATCCGTCCCACATGTATAAGAAAAGTAGCTCAGTGAGATCCTTAGTTCGAAGTTGTGGGTTACCAATAGCTTCCACCATGATTTTAAGTTGAATATGAAGTCACGAGACTATTGAACAATGGACTACTAGATCCTTGCTATTAAGAAATACCGTAACAAGAAACTATTGCATGATATTGCCAATATTTATACCTAGTAAGCACATATACATATGGTAAATTGTTCATACGTTTAATCGATGGCATCTCAACCACGATCCGTTCACACATTATGTTTTGCTACCAACAACTCTAAATCTCTTCTATGATGTTTTCAGAACCGATGATTTGTTTGCAATAAAAAGGCAAGCAAGGGGATGTTTGGTTGGTTTTCCATTGAGTCACGTAGGGATTAAGTTGTCTGTATGGATTAATTTGTATTCGGACGGAAGGTTTTTGTTTAAGACGGATTTTTCATAATGGAACGAACGTGTACCGGGAACAAGTTTGGAAAAAACTTGGCTTTCTACGTAAAGCTAACTCTCTACGAAGCATACTTAACAAATGAAACCACTGTCAAACAATCTTGTATAATTGACTTTGACCAAATAAGTTGAGTCCCATTAAACAGCCAACAAATATGCCCTAAGATTTACTTGAGTAAGAGTGTGGTGTGGGGTTGTAAGATAAACCTGGAGGATCCAGTATTCATGTTGCGATGGAGAATCCGACCCGATCCACCGTCCTCACTTGATCCAATCAGATCCTTCAAACCAGAATTCATGGGTTTCTCTTCCTCCTTCATCACCGCCTCCTCCTCCTTCATCTTCTCAGGCACAACTCTCAACCTCTCGAAATAATTCCCATAAATATACTCTGGATCATACCCATTCTCATCATCAAACAACATGATATGACCATGCCATTCCCAGACCCGATACTCCGACCCGGCTTCCATATGATACCCAACACAAATATGGTGTTCTCCGATCGTTACCGCCTGACCCGAATTGGGTTTTAGGGCTTCTTCCGTGTTTCCACTAAGAATAATCTTGATCACCTCCTTTTCCAGCTTCGATTCTTCTTTGGCCAGCCGAGTTTTGCTCCTCCTGTTGTTTTCATCATCATCGTCGTCATCGTCTTGATCATCTTCAGCATCTGAGATGTTGTTTATGGTGTCCATAAGGAGATCTTCTAGGGTTTTATTAAAAGACGGTGATAATTGGGGTTGAAGAGGATTCGGAGGGCGGATTTGGAGCCTGCCCATTAGGGTTTGGAGAAGGAGGTGATCCAAATTAGGCGTATTCGTATAGGAACTCATGTATACAAGATTTTGAAGGTTTTAGTGATTGTTTGTATGCGTAAGAGGAATTAGGGTTTTTGATGGAAAAAGGTGTGAAATGGCAGAGAAAAGAGAGGGGGCTAAAAAAGAGGGTTTATCAGGTTTATGCAATTGCAAACTGATGCTGAATCTTTCAAAAAGCGGTCGCTGAAATTTTCTTTTATTTACATTTCTAGCTCTAAGAATTATAATTTGCCACTCTGGCCACAAATTTAAAATCTTTTATCAATTCAGTATTATTTAGGTAAGGGGCGGTTTACCTAAACACTTATCCAGTAAGCACTTACCCGTAAACATCAATGCTATCGCTTACTTAAAAAAAGTAATCAAGTCGTGGTCTTCAAGATACAAAAAGTTTGTCTAGTGGTTGTATTCATTAAGCTCTCCAAAAAGCCGAAAATTACCAACATATTGTTAAAGGAATGTTCTAGCATAAAACAACTTGTTCAAATTAACTATCCAATTATGTAAAAACAAGTAAATCATAAACTTAACTCCATGAAACAATAAATGAAAAATGATATAAATAAAAATAACTCAAGATTGTGATAATAAAAGAATAAACTAACTAAAAGTTGGGAAATGATTGAATAATCAAAGCATATCAAGACATATAATGTTGATATATGTAATCTTATGGGCTGTTTACTTGTGGCTTAATTAGGCTTATTGGTTTATTTGGTTTATTTGCACAGTTCATTTGGGTTGTTTACTTACGGCTTATTCGTATAGAACACGACTTCATTGCACAGATATAAATGGTGAGTTGTCCCCATTCAGCCACAAAAATGATACCCCTACCCCTTATTTAAAGTACCGCCTCCTTCCCATATGAGACACCCCATCTTCGGTCTATTTATGATTTTTTGTTTTGATGTTCAAATAATTAATATTGGGGGTAAATCGGTCATTTATGTTATTCAGACCGTTGATTTAGATAAAGAAAATATTAAACAACACTCATTTATCCAGATAGACAAATTTATTCATACAAGACTTGATAAATTTTTTTGGTAAAGAGCCCCTCACTCTATATAAATTCTTTAAATCAATTTTAAAAAATCTTAGAAATATAAGATATAATTTGAATTATGCTATGATTTAATTTTAAAAAAAAAACAAATGCTGTAAAGAAACCCATCTATAATAAAAAATATTGATTTTTAGGGGGTGTTTGGGATTGTTTAAAACATTTTTTTTTTTTTTTTTGTAAAAATGTTTATTAACTTATGTGGTATCAAACCGGAGTTAAATAAAATATGGTTAAAATTGTAAACTGGTAATAAACAGTTTTTCATAAGTCAGGAATGATTAACTTATCAAAAACAACTTATTACCGGTTTGACACCGGTATAAACACTTTTTTTTCTTATCCAAACACCAGAAAACAACTTATCACCGGTGCCAGACTGAAATAAGTTAAAAAGCATAAGCAATCCCAAACACCCACTTACTGATGTTGTTAAAAATGATAACCTGATTTCATTCAGTTGCTTGGCTCGACCAAATTCTTCAAGTAGTTTTGTTGGTAATTTGGCATGACTTCGAAAGTGTCTTCATGTTAATTGACACGGAGCGTATTTTAAAATCTTGACTTTTCAACTTTAAATTATTCTTATTCACATAGAATGTAAATATTTATGGTAAAAAGTTGATTACTACAATCTTAATCGGTTTTATACAAAACCTTTATTCAGAGATATTAATATAAAATGATATTTTTTGACTCACTTATCGGCTGAAGCTAGTGCAAGAGGGGGGAGACCTAGGATCAAACCCATAACCTGTCTTGTATTTGAGCAAAGTCACACCACCTCTTTATCAACTGAGTCCTTACTCTCACTTACTTTGTTGGGTGACATTATCGGCGATCAAAATGGATTGTGGTAAACGTATTTTACCCGGTAAGTGGTTAATGCTAGGAGTCGTCTCCCTCATTTACGTAGTAAGATTCTTAGTTCTTGCTATGTCCTTATCATGCGAGATTACTGTAACGCCCCACGTCTCTATATATATTGGGTGCCGTTACTTTACATGATAAACTTTATTAAGCTCTTGAATCTGAACTTGAAATTTAGCTTTATTTAGTACATATCTTGAATTTACATCAAAGAAGAAACTACTTAGCGGAAACGTAACCATAACTTGTATTACAACAAAACTTGCTTTTCAAACTAAAACCGTTATAATTTATGCAAATCCTTCTTACTTCCTTCATGAGATACATACATGAGATATATAAGCTATAAGCTTAGTGAATATTTATAGGTTCATGAATGAGAAATTTTTATGATATTTTGTAAATGATAATTCATAAAAATTCTCGATCATGTATAAAAATATTCTTTATTCTCATGCATAAACATTCATAAAATCATATATTTTTTATCATGCATAAAACATTTTTTTTGAGATCTCACTTGTCACATGCATGTATACCATACTTGTCTTTAGGTTTGTTAACCCCCGGGTCCATTAAAAGGCTGCCTATAAGGTCCGTTTGCAAGACGTTCCTTCTTGTAATATCCCGTACGTTGGATATTATGGTTATACATAACATGTAAAAAAATTATGCCTTGTGTAACACATATGATAACATGTAAATGATTTTCATGTCTTGTGTGTGTACTTGTATGTCATCATGCATATCTTGAATATGTATGTGTATCAATATTTTCATGTAAAACAAAGCATGCCAACATAACTTGTAATGCATAAAATACTTCTATATATATCATACATGTATCTCATAAATCACATAAGTACTCACCTTGATTTGCCTACTTTTTCCTTTGATTCCTTCCTTCAAGCTTAATTAGGTAAATATAGAGAGATTTCTTATTTTTTTGGTATGCATAAATAGTGACCCTTAAACCCCTATTTAAAGATAAATTCATTGCATTAACTACTTGGCTTTTTTGCTCTAAAAATTGTACTCTTATGAGAGTTTGACACCTCACCAATAAAGATAGAGAATCTTTACAACTCATACTTCTAATACTCCTTGTCATTGTCATGCTTCCTTGACTTGTCTTGTAATCAATAGTATTGCCAACTCATACACTTCTAGCCTTAACAACTCATCACTAGCTTGCTTAGTCATGCTTACTAGACTTGCCAACACACTCCTAGCCTTAACAACTCATCACTAGCTTGCTTAGTCATGCTTACTAGACTTGCCAACACATTTTTAGCCTTAACAACTCATCACTAGCTTGCTTTCTAAATGTAGCAGCTGCTGGAGTACTTGATTATGTATAAATATTTGTATTTAAGGCTGAAATATTAAGATTTATTTAATAAGAAACTAAGGTGTTACAATTACAATCCTTAACGTACTTACCGGTAAGATAAATGACACCCAATAAAGATTTATCCAAAGTAAAAACACCGGGCATGGCAAGACGGTGGGTAGCGGTTCAAGTGATAATAATCATTAGTAAAAGTAAAGTAAAACGTACACTTATTTTCTTATACCTTGGTCAATTTTTTAAGACAAGTACATGGTTACATTACCTTAATTTGCCATTTTTAAGAACATTATAGTGCTACCGTACTCGCAATCCTAGCTCCGCCCCATAGATCTCCCGTTACACAGAAGTACCGGTTGTTTTACCAATATGTTGAAGCAAAAGATTCACGTAAAATTGTGTTTTACCGTGGGTTGGAGATACTAGAAACACTTGATCGGACACTTAAATGTTTCGAATTAATCAATTCTAAAAAGTATCGTCTTCATCAAACAAAATCAAAATTAATATATGTATATACGATCAACAGAACCATAAAAGAAGACCAAAAGAGTTCATTGAATTTCAAAGTGCACAAAAGCTTCTTCCCTTACACATTGTGAATACATTAAAAAAATATTGAAAAAATAGAATATATGTAACAGTTGCACCAGTCTCGTTCAGTATTACAAACTGCGCTTTGTTGTCGTCATCATTATATAGCGATGAGAATATTACAGAACATAAATTCGTAAGACATCCACCTCTACCTCCTCAAACTCTCCACGATGTAGTCCGCATACAGATCCCTTCAAGTTACCAAACACAAGGTCAACCTCATTAACACTTTGCTTTTTGCATCAAATTTTTTTATCATAAAAACAGATCATTTCACCAATCAGAAAACCATCTACAACTGCCTTTTTTAACGCTACATATGCATATTTATATGTACATCTACAAGGTTGGGTCTGGTGAGAAAGAAAGTTATGATAAGAAGCGTAAGAAGAGATCCCCACCTTTGGATCAATCGCAACTGAATGTCAACACCTGTGTATACATCTGTATATGTATAATGAAGAAAACTTGTACGCCAAAGCCCATTATTGTATTTTACCAGGTGAAAAGGTCTTTCTGAATTGGGATCTTGCAAAAAATATGATAAATGCATATACTCCCTCTGTATGGATACAGTTTTAGAAATGTATAATTATTACATTCTTTAATCAACTAAATGACAATTTTATGCTTAATATAATTAAAGGCGCTTGGGCCTGTTTGTTAGCAGTTCGATCAGCTATTCACGACTGTTTGGTAGTGACTTGATGATATTAGAAAGTGGCTTATTTTAGGAGGGAGCTTCATGCAAAAAGTCAGGTTTTTTTCAAGCCTGTTACTCCCAATTAAAAAACATGTTCCTTCCATCTATGAAAAAGCTCTCCCAAATAAAAATCTTCCCAATCTATAAAGACAGATTAATCCATACAGGACTTAATGGAGAACCAACCAAAAAACCCCTTACCTTTAAAAGTTACTTTGGGACAAACTAAGACAGAAATATGGACATTTATTTTGAGACGGTGCTAGTAATTTAAGACACCCATAAGAGAGAGTGTTTGCATTTATTTTTGGGCAGACAAAAGAATTTGTGCTTTCACTACTTATGTATTCAATATTATTATGGGGTCCTACTTGGAAGGCATAAATAGAAAAAAGGAAGGTATAAAAATCAAGCAGTTCGATTCTCTACTTACATGGAATGTCTAACCACCTCAATTGCCTCCTCAGCTGGCAAGAAATCATTGACAGCAACCTCCTTGTTCTCATTCTTCTTGTCTAATTAGTTGTCAAGATAAACAAGATTGCATCTAACAAAATGGTGATACAGATTCCAGCACTTATAACAATTGAGTTTTCAAAGGATACAATCTTCAAAGAAACGGCGGATCTCAGCCAAACGATGTGGTGGCAGCTCCTTAATGTCACTGTAGTGTCTATACTCAGGATCATCAGCACACACTGCAATTATCTTGTCATCCTTCTCTCCCTGATTCATGATATCAACCAATGTCAGCAAATTTGTTAAAAAAAATTTGTCATTCATAAAAAAAGACAATATCATACCTGATCAATCATGGGCATGACACCAATTGCTCTGGCACGAAGAAAACAACCAGGCAGGATTGGTTCCTGCAGGTGTTTTCAAAGCACCACAATAAGTCAGTGACATTGCTGCATATTCCATTTGATATAAGAAACCTCACGAGTTTAATATGAAGTGAAAAGTAAATCAGTATTTGGTAAATTTAAACCACTAGCTTATGGCTCATTGCTTCTGTTCCTCATCTACGTTTTGTGGGTTCATCAACATCTATGGAACCAAAAGGCCTTTAGCCTAGCGGTATCGTATCCCTTGGCCTTCTGGGAGGTCAGGGGTTCAAACCTCACCATGGGTGAGGAGGGTGTGTGAGTTTATTTGTTGCATTTGCCGTATATAAATATTATATACTTCAAAAAAAAAAAAACATCTATGGAAATGGGACCCTTCAATGAAAAACGAGCCAACAAAGCAAATGCACTAGATGAATGGATGCAAAACTAGATAAAATGTAAAATAAAGTGGCATACCTGCATGATAACCAAGACATCAAGTGGATCGTTGTCCTCACAGAGAGTACGAGGGACGAAGCCGTAGTTGTGAGGGTACACAACTGATGAATATAGGACACGATCAACCTGATAAACCACATATTAGAAATTACGGAAACCATATATCCCATCTCATTTCACCAATTATCATCCTCATTTACCTTGATAAGTCCTGTTTTTTTGTCGAGCTCATACTTTACCTTGCTCCCCTTGCTAATCTCAATCACCTGCAAAAAAAGAGTGGTTTTATGATAAATCCTTTCTCTTACAAATGAGCACCTAAATGGGTACTTCCAGCGATGCATACAATTAAAATTTTAATTGCACAAATACAAATACCGAGAAATTTAGGTGAAAAGAAAATATGAAGCTGCTTGTATCACCCCAAACCTTAAAAAAAACTACACACACACACACACACACAATTCTCTAAGCAAGGATGGTGATTTCAATTAACTGGACTTTGATCAATATTAGTTCTACATCCTTACACAGTTGAATATCGTTGGTGCTCCTGGTCCTGCAATGGATCATCACAAAAATCAGATGCTTGAATATCACTACATCATTATACAGATATATTTATTCTATGAATCCAAGGAGGACTCAAATTAAATAAAGTACCTATCTCAAGATCATGCCACGGATGGGCAGCAACTGATCTTCTCCTCATGGATGAAAGGATTCTTTCATTAAGAGGAGGATGTGAATGATGATGAGAGTTAGCAGGTTTGTTTGGAGTCTCAATGGGCGGAGTCATTGTTGTAATCTGCACATGTAGCCTATATCAGAAAAACTACTGCTATTTCAAAGAGCTTACTTGCTATGAAAACAGACTAATAGAACAAGAGAGAGAAAATCTTGGCATTAATATCAACATTCAAGCAAAACAAACAGAAATACTAATTGAAGTGCAGTATGCTCAAATTTAGCATATGCACTCCCTTGTGCTCATATCTAGAATTTAGTAACGTTTTTCAAATAGGAGCACAAGAAGGAAATAAAATCAGATTGACTGAACTGCCACTAGTGCATGAGACACAAGAGAAAAAAGAAATTACTAGTACATCTAATTCATCACAATAGATAGGGAAATGCAAGAACATATTCTTAAATCATCTTTAATCAACTCCTTAAGCTTCTGGTTGTCGTAAAATAGTTATGAAGTTTATTGTTATTGACGCCTAATGAAAGTAAACATATGCACAGCCATATGAGACATCAGCAAATAAGTCACTCTATGAAGCATATACGTAAATGATATTTAGTTCCTGAAAAGATACAAGGGGCTTACGGCTAAAAAAACAGACCTAACTTGTGATAAAGGCTAGGAACATAACCAAATAAAAAGGTAATGTTCTGGCAGACTATTAAAGTAGACTTTGATAAAAGACGCAAAAATTTTATCAATCGTGTTAGAGGTCTGAATAAGAAATAGAAAATTAACCCCAAAAATAAAATATTAATCCAAGATGCTGTCAACAGTAGAGTATCAAATTGTACATATAAGAATGTAAAGAGATAAAAAAGAATATCATAAAACATAGTGACCCATGAGATCCATAAAATGAGAATTACCAAGACAAGAAGACTACAGATGCTGCAGGGGAAGGCTCATTTGGTGCAACAAATTGATCTTGTAGATCAAGTTAAACAGGCATCAGATGTGACAGATACACAAAATACAAAATAGCATATACTCAATCTATTTCACCTAAAGCATTTGTAATGACAGTGATCCAAAACTGTTTGCAGTTAAGATCAATGATAATATGATAGAATTGCATTTGAGACATTCAAGAATAGAATGAACAGAATCATAGGTCCTCAAAAGACAAATTCACCATTTTCATAAGCTGTTTATTCACTGTTTCAAATATCTCCTTGAAACCATAAACTGAAGAGAAAATTCAAAACGGAAAACCTACACCAATACTATAATAAAATGATTCATCTAAAATCAAATTTTATAAAACCTTAAAACATCAAAACACAAACAACCCGTGAAGCATTAGCCTCTGTGTATGCTTATGAGTATGCATGACTCTAAAGCCACTTAACAAAACGCATAAAAGTAAATTTTATGTTACATTTTGCCAAATTTATTACCGACATTTTTTTAAACTCACACATAAGAAGCATCGTCAAAACTAAGAAGGCCAGCAGAAAAACACTAAAACGTGACACCGTACACCTCAGTAGGGAAATGAAAAAAAAATCAAACTCATAAACACTTAATGGTACGCATAAGCGTGGATCTTCTGCAATACATTGTCGAATCGAGACCTCTGGTCATGTAAAACCTCACACACACAAAGAAACCGGCAACAGAAGAACAAATTCAGCAAAACAACACTAAAACATCACATCATAAGTCAAATAGATTCGATAGCAGCCCTAAAAAGAACAATTCAAAGAGTATAACATGAAATGATGTGTGTGCAACAGTTGAACATCATCAAAATGTACTACAATCGAACTTTAAAAACAATATGCAAGCAAAGGAGTTAAGAACAAACCTGAGATGATCTATGAACCTGATGTTGAGAAAAATGACCTGCAGATCTAGATATTTAACAACATCAAAATCAAAGAGCGTAAGAATCAAGCCAAATATATACATACAGATACTTGTATGTATTGATAGAGAAAGATAAACATACCTAAAGAGGACAGAGAGAGAAAGTAGTGGAATCAAGCTAAGGCAAGACAAGGCGGAAGCTACACGCTGTTGTTGTTCCCGCTATCTTCAGCTTTCGCCATTTAAAGCAAAGGGAAAAAGAAAGTTTATGTGTTACGCGTTTCAAAAGATCGGACCTTTTCCATGACGGAACTGTTCACTTTCCAGGTCAATGTACAAGTATTGATGCGAGAGGTATAAGTCGTGAACGGATCGTTGGTGTGAATTTAATAATTTATGATCTGGAAAAAGGGTTTCACCATTTGGAAAGGAGAAAATGCCATATGGAATTATGGAATCGGAAAAAGATACCTGCTGAATAGGAGATGAGAATGACATCCGTGTGACACGTTGGCGTTCGGTGGTCGGGTCGAACTTGTGGGCCACCACCACCACTACCGGGTCTAACCCAAAGACTAATTTTAATATTATTTTTTTAAAGTTTTTTTATATTGTCTTTTAGTTATTTTAAATCATCAACTAATTATGAAATATAATTTAAAATTAAATTTTATAAATTTAAAATATATATCCACCGAAGAAGATAAGGAAGACGATGACGGGAGGCCTAACGGACGTGCGATGTAGCTTTCACAGTTTAAAAGGATATGTGATTAATTGCCATAATCAATGGCATAAAATAATTTACTATTTAATAATATCCTTTTTTTAATTGGTATATTCTATTGATATAAAAATAAATTATTACTCAAATAAAATATCATACATTTGTTATAGCTAAGGTTGATTTAGGGAGTTTTTGGGATTGTTTATTTTAAGTATTTTTTGACTTATTTCAGTTTGGTATCGGTGATAAGTTAAATGCTAGTGTTTGGATGAAAAAAAAATTGTTTATACCGGTGTCAAACCGGTAATAAGTAGTTTTTAATAAGTTAATCCTTCTTGACTTATGACAAATTGTTTATTACCAGTTTACCATTTTAACCATGTTTTATTAATGTTTGTTAATTATTAATCTTATTGATATAAATTATTAATCTTATTGATATAAATTTTTGTCAAAAATATTATTATAAATGATAAAAAATAAATTTGTACATGTTAAAAAATAAATAAGTTAATAAACAAATCTTAAACACTCTCATAAGTCAATAACTGTTCTTTTTAATCATTTTACATATATAAGCAAAAATTGTCAAACACTAAAAAACAACTTATCAGCTTATTGTTTTTTGGTATCACTATAAGCTAATTCAAACACTTTTTACATAACTTCGGTTTGATACCACGTAAGTTAATAAACACTTTTATAAAAAAACATAAGTTGTCTTAAATAAGCAATCTCAAACACCCCCTTATTTCCGTGACATTTTTCTTTAATATTTAAGCAAAATGTTGATTATCAGTAATTTTATCTATAGATATAAATGTGAGAGGTCATTTTTTGCTTCATTCGACGGCTGAGATTAACAGAGGGCTTAAATCAAACTACAAATCTATTTTGTATTTGAACAAAATCATGCTGTTTATTTGACAACTGAGCTTGTAAAATATTAATAAAAATAATATGATTTTTAGGCACTTTTAATTTTATTTAAAATAAATTATATTGTTATTTTATGGGTTATTTACATACAAGTAGAACACCACCGACGAGTCCTTGGGCATATTTTGTCAACCAATTGGGTTGGAGTGGCCTAATTTTGAGGAATATTCTTTTATACCATTATGGAAAAAGATGACCATGACTTAAAAGACACCCTTTCACGTCTAACTTCTAAGAGGGAGACACCCTAGCCACATCTCTATTATTATTATAATAAAAAAAAATGGGTGTATATAATCACAAGGGTGATGCCTGATTGGTTTGAGCTCGACTCCAAAGATTAAAAGTATCAGGAGGTCTCAGGTTTAAATCCAAGGAGGAATAAAAATCTTCTTGTGGCCACGGAGGGTCAGATGCAGTGACTCCAGATTATCTGCAAAACAGGTGGTCGTCATAAGATTAGTTAGCTCGTATAGCGAGTTAGACATCCAGGTTAATCAAGAAAAAAAATTGGATATGTATTGTATTCAGGTGTAATTATCTTTCATCAAAACTATATAGTATAACCGTAACATCGTAGGTTAATCATATTAGATATTATATGTTTTTGTTCATATATGAACTTTAGGTTTTGAAACAAGTCTAACAAGGAAGGTATCCAATCATATTCCTCGACCCAAGACGCGTTTCAAGAACGTGAGTCCAGGTGTGAATAAAACGAACAATATCTGGTATGGTTAGACTGAAGTGTCACAATAACACAACATATTTTTATGTTAATGGATAAAGAATTAATAAATTTGGTGGAATATTGTTCAAACGGAAGGAATATATAATTTCTCTTTATACATATCAATAACAAAACACGATAAACTAATAAAACAAGATGATTATACGTCATCTCCGTTAGTCATTATCTATTTTTCATATTCAAATAACAATAATAAAAAAAAAAACTATTAATTATTGAATTTTCATATTCAAATAAAATTCACAGGATCCTAACAAACATATGTGAGTGTCATTTGAGTATGAAAAAAATAGAAATGACGTATCGTTTTGGTTTTAAGGATTTATGCATTCGAAAAAATTATCTAGGGAGCTGATCGTTCAAAAAATGAAAGTTTGTTGGGTTTTTAGATTTCAGTAAGATCGAGTATTTATTTGTCTGATTTCAACAATTTTAAGCATTTAAACATCATGTCTCAAATTCGTAATTGAGCAGAACTGCCGATGTTCGATGAACCGGATGAAATTCGTATTCAGGGGTTGCATTTTCCTTTAAGCAACTACTGACTGTCACTTTACTTTCAAAGTGGTCGATGGTAAAGTGTGATAAAGTTTACGAAAAATGTCCAATTAATAGCCTTCATGTGCCAGTTTGTTAGACAAACTCTAGACGACCGAGACGTCCCACGTAGTTGGAATGCAGTATATTCATATAGATGAACATGGACGTTCCAATCTTTTTGGAGGCCCTGCTACATCCAAAACTTTTGATTATTGCATAAATGAGATAACAGATAATATATGTTAAAGAACAAAAATGAGCTAAACCTATAACGATTAATAAGAATAGGAGTGTTAATTTTGTACTAAAATAAACCAACCAATTTTCATATTAATTGTATCAAATTGGTTGATACCAATATAATGTTAGTAGTACGGTACCAACTATCTAAACTTAGCTGGTACATGATATTAGAAGTCGTATACCACGGTAATACTGTACCATACTGACTTATTTATTTATTAATTAATTAAAATTTAATTAGCAATACAACATATTGCGATTTCAAATTTCAAATTATTATTTTTTTTTTTTTTGCTAACTTATAATATAGATGGATGTATAGAATTCGATTAAATTCACTCGTCTAACCCTAACAACCTTAGTAACTAGTTCACACCTCAACAGTCCATCGACGCTCCTCAACTGCCGCTTGAAGTAGACTATTAGTGAATGTTTATATTATAGGAAGATTATTTGAATGTTTGTATAAGTAGGGTTAAGTGGTACAACACTTATCAACATATTATGTGAATGCTCGATGGTTTAAGTGCATCTAAATCTAGTTGGTAAATATATCAATTAAAATAAATTTATAACTTCAACTTTTGTGATGTTAGTACAATACCGTACTAATGTATACTAACAAAAAAAAGTTGGTTGGTATATGATATAAAATTTTGCATACCAATATAATTGGTTGGTAAATAGTATACGAAAAAAACAGATAGTACCGTAGCATGTTCACCCCTACATAAGAAGAACAGGACGACCAAATACGTCAAGGTTTGGCTCTAGCGATTACAAAACGATGATCGTTTGACTTGATTTTAACTGGTCAGCGACTATTTTTTATTTAATATTTACATGTATTTTTGGATCCGTGACATGTCTTGTATTTAGATAAAGTCATCATGTCTTTTTGTCAATTGAGCTATACCTACGCCAGATAAGTTTTATAAGAATAAAAAACCAAAAATTTTGCAAATATTAATAGATTAAAAATCAATTTAATATAATAAAAATATCACTGATACATTGAACTAAGGCTTCAGCCTAAACCAAGCTTTGAACTAGTCGAGAAGTCGAGATATTGGTTACTTAGTGGCTAAATGGGCCTATTGGGCTTAAATGGGCCTATTGGGCTTAAATGGGCCTGGCCTTAAGTGGATCTGTATGTTTGTAGTAAGACAAAATTGGAAATTTGGTATATTAGGTAAAAAAAAATTAGAATACAGTATTTTAATAAAAAATAATTTGGAGGTATATAATTGTAATGAGATAAAATAAAAGTATAATGTATTTGTACTATATTATAAAATATTTGAAAGAATATTTTTAAAGCTATTTTTTATACATGAAGTACTGTTTATTGATGCATAATACTTAAACTTCAATATTACAATTAAATTGTGCATAAGTACAATTTATTAAAGTTTCATGTTTGAATTTGTGTAACTAATTGCAGATAAACACAAACAAATGTAGAATAAACATTGTATTTTAAATATAAAAAATCTAAAATATAATTAGGATAATCATTGTGTTCTAACAGAATACTTAATTATTATACTTATAAAAATTTATATTATTAAATCAAATCATTGAATTAACGAAATTACACAAAAAACAATAACTTTTAAATAGTTATTTTGATACTAATATTGATATATTTTTTTTAAATTTTTTTATAATATGCTCGTATTTATATTTTATTCAAAAATAAAAACATTATCGTTTTCTCAAAAAACACAAAAACCGTATTATAATATCGACAGAAACATAAAAATAAAATATATTTGACTACATTATGTAAGTACCCTTTTAATAAAAGAAAATTTATAAAAGTAAGTTGTCATTCTATATATTTAGCTTTTTTAGAAACCGTGCCTTGTAGATATTTAATATAAAAAGGATATTTTCATTTATTTGCTAATTAATTTTGTACTTTTTTTAAGTAATGCTTCATTTATTCGGACCTATAAGTTGGATTATGACATTATATTAATGTTTTTAGTATTGAGTTTTTTTTAGAAAAATGTTGGATGGTTATTTAGGTTGACATTGACAAAGTTATTTGATTTGGAAATTATTATACAAATCTGGACAAAATAATAATTAAAAAAGATGAGACAATTTTTAAAACGTTAATTAATTTATAGATAGATGGAAATATCATTTATATTATGAGTGTACATAAAGTCATCTGATTTAATTTAAACTGATTGATTCAATTAGAACCGACTGATCATAATCGAATATCCAATCGTAATAGAATCAGATCGGGTCCAAAATTTCAACATCCAAATCGGATCGACCGGTTTTTGGATGACAGCTCAACATCCAATAAAATCGAAACGATCTAATTCTGATGACCATCCAATTCCCTGTCCAATTATCATCCAACTAATATCCAATTAGTAACTATATACAATTATTAACATTCTACGATATTTTTTGGTTGATATTTTATGTACATTGTTTTTCAATAACTTAAAAAATATATGAATAATTAGGTTGAAATGGTGGATTAATTGGTTGAATATTAGATCAAAAGATTGGACTAATCTAATCTGATCCAATGAATAACCAACAGTAAGATCCAATCATCTATTTGGATTTGGATCGAATCGGATGTCCAATGTTAATCGAATCAGATCGGATGAAAAAAATCCAACACTCAATGAATGATTGGAGCGGATCGGATCGGATCCACCTAAATCCATTGAATTTCAACTGCTATTTGTTGTCAACTTATACTATAAAAAGAACTTTTGTTCTATATATGATTTATCAAACTCGCTATTTTCACTCATGACGACATATGTCACATCCCCTAATTCCCGTAGACGAGGACATCTTAAAACAACTCGGTGCATTAAATAACATTAATATAGTGATTATTTTCGTTACACGCACAACATAAATATCTTTAAACCTTAATCGTAATATAAACACCTCATCCAACTGAATTACATAACTTGCACTTGAAACATTCATAACAAACTTCTATGTATTCTAACATGACCGTACCATATTCCAACACACCAACGCTTGGCACGTGTCTAAACTTTCCCATTTCCTTTCATATATAAACACCACAAAGAGTGGCATAACACACGTACATGACACGAGGTGACACTTGGAAGCAGTAACATACTCCCAAAATAACATACATCAAATGAGATATCGTTTTTCATACAGTTTGGCGTAGGTCACCATATCTCCTATGATACGACACAAGCGGGCTCACCCTAAGTATTTGCTTCACAAGTACATCTTGCTCTAGCGCACTTTGTCATAATTAATGGCGTCTTGGCAGGAGCGGATGCAAAGAGGAGGCGTTGGGGTCCTGGGCTCCCAACAATTTTTTTTTTTTCAAAGCCCAATAAATTTTTTTAACTTGTAATTTTTAATTTTATTCATTTGGGCCCCAACATGATTTTGTAAGAGGTCCCTCACTGCCTCACAGGCTCACACTCACAGTTCTGGTCCTTCTAATCTGGAACAGACGAAGGAAGCAGTAAGCCAGTAAGTAGCACCGATTACCGAAGTGGCGAAGCAGGGAAGAAGTACCGAAGCGAAGAAGACACGACCTGTGGCTATGGCTGCCTGGCTCGCTGCGAGTCTGCGAAGTGCGACCGCCGACCAGACTGTCCAGACGCCGACCAGCAGGTTGCCTGTGCGCAGCGGCGGCAGCGCGACTTAGGTTTTTGATTCGGTCTTCGGGTAAAAATTCTAATTTCCAAATTCCTAATTCCAGACTTCCGGTCATTAATTTTGATTGCTTATTGGTGATTGCTTATTGGTGATTTGGTAAATGGTAAATGCTTTAGATTAAGTTAATTTTGTAGGTTGTTGTTTGCTTATTGGTGATTTGGTA